CAGAACCAAAGACATCACGACAAGTGACAAGAAGCGGCAACTGGAATCAACGGGCTTGAATGTCGTTATAAATATAAAAATAAATATATTACAATTACATGCACATATTCACATACATATATAAAATATGTAAATACATGTATATGTATATATGCATATGTATATATATATATATGTAAATGTATATGTGTATGTTTAAAAAAATGTCTTAAAATACTTATATATTTATGATTTGTAATTATAATTCGAGAATCTTGTTTTTTTATATTCACGTATATATATATATAAATGTATATATATATATATGTATTTTTATAATATACAAAGATATACTATACAAAGAAACCCCCGAGGATAGATCTGGTTTCATTTATCTCCATTTTTTGCAATTTTAACTGTTCCGTTGTTTCTTGGCCCACTTGGATCTTAAGGAATCGCCACCGGGCTGCCAACAGGTCGCCGTGGCACGGTGGCAGGCCTGGATGGAGAACAGAACTTGCAAGCATAGACCAAATGCTCTTCTGCATAGATCATGCAGCTGCAATCCACTTCTGGGGTCCTTGGCGCTGTCGGGCGCTTTTTCGAACAGGACAGAGGCACGTTGGGCGCATTTCTTTCAAGTTCCCCTTGAAGTTCTGCATTTACACCCTGAACCAGTAGTGCTTGATGGGAAAGTTTAAGAATAAAACATAGTAAACAAACTTCGCAAACTTGTACATTTGGAATTCAAAAACATGTTTCGAATTTTGATTTAAAAAAACCCAAGAAGCCATAGGTAGAAAACCAAAACAATGGTCACCCTGGGGGGATCACAGGCACAGCCGCCTGCAGAGGATACCCAACCGAAAAAAACATAGGAAAAGGGTTGTTTCTGATTGCAAATCTTTATTAAGATAGAAAATGAAACTGATTTTTTTTTATGATCATTAAGTATCTCGATGCAGCCCCACTTTTGAGACACTCTAACTCTAATAAACTCGGAAAATTACCCCTTGCCAAATACAAGAAGGATTCTTTTACACGTACCCTCAGGATACCCTAGATACTGCAGTTTAGCCATTGGAGATTCCGATGTTTGCCGTGTCAATCATCAACTTTTAGGTGGTTTTCCAGTCTGCCAGACTTGATTTCAAAGTCCGCTGGTTCAATCCCAATTTCATCAGGTTCAAGCGCTACTCTTCTCGCTAACCTCTAATTTCTGCTGGTAAACTCGTGGTTAAATCGCAATCCATGATGGCCAGATCAGAAAGTGAGCTAGTTAAATCTCAATTATTTACTTGAACCCCTATATCTGGTGCTTACTTCCGAATTCAGCTGGCGACGTCCAAAGCTCAGCTTTTGTGGGTTCATCTGACAATGGGCTACCGGCAAATCTGATTGGTTCTCATCATTTTCCCGATGAAATTGGTATGTACCACTTCTTCGGACAGACCCACAAATCCTATCTGTGTTGGTTTTATATTCCATCAATATCCGTTATCACTTTCTACTGGGCTGATCCCAATTTCAGCCGGTTTAATCCTTGTTATTGCTTGATCATGTTCTATCTCATATGGATATATTGTTATATAGACGATTATGGATTGTTAGTGAAACAATTAATTACTTACAATTTGTCTTTATCCCATGATGTTGTTTTGATCCACAAAACCAAGTCCATGTTTCTGTTCATCCTTTCCAAAACGAGATTACATCACGTCTTACTGGGTCTCAGCAGTATTTTGAAAATCATTACAAACAACTGGTGCGAGTTACTTTTCCAGAATTTCTTTTTTGGGTGAATCCACTGGCTCCCTGAGCAAACCCTAGCCATCCACCAGCTCTGGTGATACCGTGGCCACCATCAACCACCATCTGCAGCCAGCACGCCCAGTCACTACTACAGGGAAATTCGTCATCTCCCAGTGTCTAAGCCTGTGGTTACCTCGCACAAGGTGGGTGGGTGTGTGTGTGTGTGCGTGCGTGCGTGTGTGTGTTTGTTCCGTCATGTGGTATAGCATCCCAAGGTGCCAAGGATGCAACAAATGAAAAAAAAAGATCTCCTCAAGTTTTGAAGGTATGTTTGTCTGCAACAATGCCAAGCATATCCAAATGTGCTGTGTGAACGGTTGAGACTTTCCAGCTTCGTCTACCCGTTAGCAGATTGCACTATGGCAATGGTTCCCGGAGTCCTCCGCAATTTGTACTTCGGACATCATCAGTTGCAGCGTATTGGACCTTGCCCATGCGCCATTGGATCCACTTTTGATTGAGATTTCATTGTTGGCGACCACAACATGTTTGCGGTACAGAGACGGAAAGGTCTGCCAATAGATGCAAAATCATCAGTATACTTGCATATAGTACAGTACAGTTCAATGTGAAAGTAAAACATTAAAGGCATCATTGAATGAATCAAGCAATGAATGAATCAATAAATGAACCAATGAATAATGAATCAGTGAATTGAAACATGATTGATTGAATCAATGAATATCGACTGATAAGTCTCTCCATCTAAACCAATCAAAAGCATCACTACAGAGACATTTGTATATACGTGTGCTTTGCGCTTCTTCATTTACGTCTGCGAAAAAATCGCCGTCAGGAACAGAATCGCTTGCAAGGTGGAAAACACACAATGTTGAAAACATATTCTAGCCTGGATCCTTTCAACGTTCCTGCAAACGGACCCTGCACACTCCTTATATTCGAATTTGGAATGTTCACATCCAATGAAACATCTTGCCAGCCAAATACCTGACAATGTGCCAAGTCGCAGGCACCCGGCACCCCTGCCAAATATCGCCAAGAGAGCTGCAAGCCTCTTCGTTGAAGGCCAAGGGGTCGCAAAATCCATCTGCCTTGGCTTCAGACCCGCTGTGGCAGAAGACATCCATTGTTCGTTGTTGTACTGCTCTCATTCTTTTGTGTTGGACATTGGCTGGTCCTGCTAGGCAAAACAGAAGCTGCAGGATTCATATATGAATCATTTTGAATGTCCAAATCCTTTCGGCCCATTCCTCGTTTGAATTCTCGTCAGCTGACGAATCAAACACCTTCCGAGAATATTCAGTCTGATGGGGAAACACGTTGCAAATGAGTTTTAGGTAAACAAATAGCGTCCCAACTATTCACAAACTTGCACCCCTTTGTACACGTACTATACCCTGTGATTTCAGGGCAGCTACTTTGTAAAGGACCAAGGTCTCGAGCTTACAGAATGTCATGGCTTCAAGTTTATAAGATGGGAGGCTTTTTGATCTTCCCCAGGAAATACCGGTGAACCAAAAAAAACACTACCCCTTGCGAAATGCTTGCCCCAACCTCATTTCCCAGATTTGAAGCTGCCTCATTTTTGTAAAGTTGGGTCATATAAAAAAATGATTTGGAAATGTCTAAGTTGCGCCTATTCCGATCCCCTAGGAAACGCTACACTCCCTGTGTCCTGTCCCTGCTACAATATCTGTATGTTTGTTCGGCAAGGTGAGAAAAAATCAATACATCTACAGTAAGCACATCAAAATACAAGTTGTTCATCCACTTTGTAGCCTAGTTTGTTCCGCCCTGAACTTCGGTGGACTGTAGGCCCTTTAGACCCAAACCATTTTGTCAAAGCATTGGTTTAAAATCTCAGGCAAACATGAGAATGCGTCCAATTGCGCAAATACCTGTAATATGAAATGGCCCGGACAATATTTTATAACGCATTTGCAACATGATTTTCCCCAACAAAAAAACATTCACAAAAATGCAGGATTCACTGGGCACAAGTCGGTACAACATGGCTGCTTTCTTCATCAAAATGGCTTCTGACATGGAACATGGGTACCACCATTTTATAGTGGACATTTGCACAAGTAATTTGCGATTCTAATCCCCTGTTTGTGCTTGGTAAAGCCCAATCAAGGTCAAATCACCATGATGTTGGATTCTGTACATCGTAAATTTCTATTTTGTTCTGTGATATCCTGATGTCATGGTGGGCGGGCTAAGATCTCGAGAAGGATCATCCAATTAAAATCAAGCACTATGAACCATCACGCTCAAATCGTCCTAAAGATCCTAAGATGTCACCAACTATTCATGCCAGCTCTTTGTGCCACAAATAGAGCCTAATTTTGTTTGCTTAAGTCGACTGCAACGCGTTTTTCGTTATTAGTTAGTAGGACCCAACCTTTTTGCAGGTCCTTCATCCAAGCATCGCGACTCACCCGCTACCCTGACGAGTAGCCAAAAAAAGAAAAGGAAAGCGTATCGGTCGCTTTGGAGATCCACGCTCTGCAAGGAGCACAGGGAAAAGAACACCGAGCCTCAGGATGGAACATGCGCGGCCAATTTTTGTCGCATTTTCAGAATTTAAACAGCACTTGGAGGAGTACATGTTTGTCCATAAAGGCAAAATACAGATATGTAGCAAAACAAATCTTGAAGGATTGACTTATCCGAAAGATTCCTTGCGAATTTTACGCATTTTCGTGCCCTTGGTCTTCTGGAATTAACCCAGATCCACCAAGGACATTGGATCTTAACAAGAAATGTGACGGTTCAAGACTTGCAACCGCGCCATTCAAACAATCATCTTTGGACATGTCGAAAAACCTAATGGGCACTGCAATCTGTGCATTTTCCCTGTGACATTCTGGGCACCTGGAAGCGCTTTATGGGACGGAGCTCGCCATATGCAAATGAAGTCTTCCTCCAAGGTTGCGCATCATGCAGGGCATACTCAGGTGGAACTAGGCGCAAGCTTGCAAACAACTGGAAGCAACATAAATCAAGAAGAAAGCAAGGCTGATTTGGAGGCAGGGATGTACATGTTGCACTTCAAAGCATCCATGGACTTGCGTGCTATAACTGCGAAAAAGGCATGGCTGAAAACGAAATGCGAAAGAAACTGTCTCACTGTCCGAAACAACATGTAAATCCAGTACCCCTTCCACAAGACATGCAGCACGGCAGATTCCAGTTTGGCTCTTGCGTTTTTTGGCGGTCACATCTGCGCATTCCATCACAAACCTTTACGAGTCACTGGCTACGCTGCTGTCATCACTTTCACCCTGATCTGCAGGTGGTGGAGCACCTGAACCTGGCGATGGTGGGCCATTCGGTTCGGAAGGCTGCTGGTGGGCTGCAAAATGCACATCGGGCTCCCCTCCCAGGCTGTGGGCCCTCGTCAAATGGCGCCGCTTGGTCACGATGCTGCCAAGGACCATGTCAATCAGCACTCGCAGGAGAACCATCTCATGAAGGACGGTCTGGGAGAAGGTGTTTGGAACAAATCCCAGGTAATTCCTTTTCTCACGACAAGCAGCAATAGCTGCCATTGCGCCACCATAAATGTCCACGATGGTGACCTGCTGGCTGACGCTGTAGCAATTGTAGATTTCCAACACCTGCTTCTCCTCGGCTTCCCATGGAAACAGCAAGCTATGCTTTGTCGAATCGTTGCCCTCCTCTCCATCCGTCTCTTCTGCCTCCTGTTCAGGCTCCAAATCCAGCACTTCATCTTCTAGGCCATCTCCGCGAGCTTGGCCTGTAAACATTTTCTCCAAGATGTGGGTGGGCAAAGCAGTGAGCAGCCTCTCCTCTGCATTCTTGAGACCATTCTTGGCCCATCCACGGTCGCGGTTTCTCCCTGGTAGATCTACATGAACACGTGCACGGAGAGGCACCGTCACATCTTTGGGCTTCAGGATGTAGATGGTTTCCAACGGCTCAGGGCTGGAAGCACTTGAGGTTGAAATCACGCTGCTTTCAACTCTGCGAGCGGGGCGGGCAAAACCGGTCTCAAACTCATCATTGTGGTAAAGGAGTCTGACCTGGGCGACTTTCCTGGCTGGCCACATCACCTTCCGCAGAGCTAAAGGTTTTGCCACATCCTTCATGAACTGCATTCCGTTGCGAAGATTGCGGCCATCATGGTAGACCAGCATGTCTTCGGCACTCATGCCAAACTGCTGGTCTCCTGTGATGGCAGGATCGCCAAGCAAAGCTTGCAAGATGTTCCTCTGCTCTGTCTTGCATGTCTGGGGCACCTTCTTGTAGGGTGTCTTCGCATCCGGCTCGCTCCGTCGCGTTTTCAAATCCATGCGGAAAAGCTTGGGGCCCGCAGGGAAGGTGTAGTTTCTCCACTCTGAAGAAGCTGGGGCAACCTGGAACTGCACGTAGGTGTTTCTTCCTGGGTCTATGTATGATCAAGTTGCGCCCTCGGGAGAAGGACAAAACGCGGCAAAAACAATCACAGCAACCATATGTTTTTCGGGGCGTCTCTTCCTTCACGAAAAAAAATGCACCAAGTTGCGCAGCTTGGCATCATCCAGCACCTGTGCAAAAGCGACGTCACATTTGTTCTTGTACAGGATGTCTTGGAACGTGTCTGGCATGCTTTCCCGCAAGGTAGGAAAAGACGCAAGCCTATCCAACTTGTCAGGCTCACCTTCTAATTCAACAACCATGGCATCTGGCTTGGTATCCTCCTCGGCTTCCGCAGTTTGAAGAGAAGGTTCCTGCCAGAAGGGGCGAGGTCGAGGTGGTTTGAAATTTGGAGTGGCGAGCATCTAAAGGAATATATTTATTGAATTATAGAGACAAGACATCGAAGTTGGTGGAATAACAATCTAACAGCCATGCAATGCGTCGGCTTTGCAGTGGTGATATTCAAGTTCCATAGTTACATGTTTCACGAACAAGCGCTGCAGTGGGCCACCGCCGACAAACAGAAAAGGGCCAAAACATGGCAACATGCAATGCTCGGAAGGCAAGGAGTTTGAGGAAAGCCTTCGCGAAAATATGGGAAAAAATCGCGGGAAGCATAAAAAGAAAAATAACCTGTGCGCTCGCAAACAGGACTTGGAGAGAGGTACGCGTGCTCACTACAATTCCGAAAAAATCGACACCGCAACCACGCAGCCTCTGCAACCTCCTCAGCTGCACTTGCCACCTGCACGGGTTCTTCTGCTGCAGCAACTTGCTCCTGAGCCGGCTCAGGTGCTTCTGGGCCACGCTTGGCTGCAGCAGCTGCTTCCAAGAACTCATCATGGTGATAGATACCAAGCTTCTGGAAGTCGGCTCCCATCAAGAAGACCTGTAGAGACAAAGTGTTTTGGCAAGGCCAATCAAGCCGAGAGAAGAGCATGTTGGACAGTACATAGAAACCATAGCAATTTGATACACGCATGGGATGTACAATTTGCCTGTCAGCGATGTCTGTGAGAATGCAAAAATGGTGCCCCGAAACTATCGAAGCTGTCACACTGACTGCTATCATCTTTGAAACCAATTCTATAATCTCTGATTTTTTTCACAGAAGGCACGCAATATGTGGAATATCCCTCGTGGCCCCGCCTCCGCTGCAACTAGCGCGTCGCGGTCAAGTGCGGCATCCATGACTCTGTCCAGATCTGGAGAGCCCCGAAGCAACTGCGTACCAAATTGAAGGAGCTGCTGCTGGTATTCAGGCAAGAGCTGCAGCCAACTGAGGTTTGTGGGCAAAGTGCTGCTCAAGCCAGACTCTTTCCAAGCTGCTACAGTGGAGAACACGTTGTCCAAAACCTTGCTTGGGTGAAATCTGGTGTCGTAGGATCTGCCTGCTTCGTCCAAAGCAGGAAACTTCCTCGCGATGTAAGTCAAGACTCGCTTCTTCAGGAGGTACCGGCTCACGACGATCTTCAAGGATGGCTGGTTCAGGTCTGGAGGGAAGCGTTTGCACCCAACATCTTCCAGCAAGCACTCAAGGCACCAGACCAGCAAGGCGTTCTGGATGGAACTGGTCTTTCGGCAGCTGGTGCGCTGGCAGATGAAATCCAGATTGGTGGTCCATGCCATGCAGTGCCGCGACCCAAATTGGGAATCCAAGATCTCAACGGCCCTCACGGCAGCCTGGCCTGCCTGGGAAAACCGAGACCAAATCTTGAGCATTGTCCCGATAGCCTTCGGCGACATTGCTTTCACGCCGCCTTTCGAAAACCACTTGCTAAGATCTTCTTGTGATGCCGAAAATCCTTGGCTCTTCAGGGCAATCTGCACATCATACACTGCCTTCGTTTTTTTCAATCCCATCAGCACCTGGGACTCTGCGACGTCCATCGCATGGTCGGCAGCTTTCCACTTGGCAAGCTCATAATCTTCCCAAGATGGAAGGTAGCGGAATCTCACTCGAAATGCCCTTGCCCCCTTCTGAAAAGATTTCTGGCTCTGCTGATTCTTGCCGTCGGTCAGGCAGCGGTACCAAGCGTAAAGGAAAGACACTCCTCAGTGACATCTTCACAGAGACCACAAAATTCAACCCTTTGAAACAAACACTCACATAACTTGGCTTCAATTGAGGCCAGGGAATGAGTTTTGATATCGAATTCAAACGGCACCAAACTGCATTTAAATATCAGAAAATACGTACATGCATTTATATACATACAAACTTCTTTATTTATCTATTTATTCATCTATTTATTTATTTACATACAATGTTTTGCCTCGAGGTGGAACTCGTTTTATATGGCAGTGTATGATGTGCAGATTGCCCTGAAGAGCCAAGGATTTTCGGCGTCACAAGAAGATCTTAGCAAGTGGTTTTCGAAAGGCGGCGTGAAAGCAATGTCGCCGAAGGCTATCGGGACAATGCTCAAGATTTGGTCTCGGTTTTCCCAGGCAGGCCAGGCTGCCGTGAGGCCCGTTGAGATCTTGGATTCCCAATTTGGGTCGCGGCACTGCATGGCATGGACCACCAATCTGGATTTCATCTGCCAGCGCACCAGCTGCCGAAAGACTGCTTCCATCCAGAACAGTTCGCTTTGCTGGTGCCTCGAGTGCTTGCTGGAAGATGTTGGGTGCAAACGCTTCCCTCCAGACCTGAACCAGCCATCCTTGAAAATTGTCGTGAGCCGGTACCTCCTGAAGAAGCGAGTCTTGACTTACATCGCGAGGAAGTTTCCTGCTTTGGACGATCCGAGCACATCCTACGACCCCAGATTTCACCCAAGCCAGGTTTTGGACAACGTGTTCTCCACTCGTTTTATATGTTGTATATGTAGTTTTTTAATATGGTGTAAGTAGATTTATAGAGGGGGGTAACTTGTATAAGTCATGTTAAAGTTATATCTACTTAAAGCAAGATATAACAGGAGAAAGCAGATGTTCAAGAAAAAGATGCAAACAAGTTAGCAAAGATAGCTGTTTTTTGTCGTGGAAACCAATGTTTTTTAATGGTAGGACAGTTTTTCTGCTCCAGTGAAGGGCAAGATTCATTCCTGGCGTTTCCTGTTGTTCAAGAGAAGATGACAGAAGGTTGGCGTGGAAACGCGCATATACCTGCATATATCCGCGTACGTGTTTCCTGCTATTTGGAAAAGAAAAGAAGGAAACGCGCAGGTTGTCTCGAGGCACAGCATTGTATGGATTTTAAATCTGTATATATATATATGTGTATGTGTGTGTGAGTGTGTGTAGTAAATACAAATATCAGGCGGTGTTTGCATGTCTTAGATGAGTATACTATGTACATATATACTGATAAATACCTTTCGACAATTCTTTTGTAGAAAAAGAAATCATTAGATATCTTTTCCACAGCATAGCAAAGACAAGATATCGGAAGTTCGGGCAGGTCGGGCAGGTGCTGGAGCTAGAAGCAGAGCGGAGAAGCATGTGATGTGACAAGGGCAGAAGAAGAGAATAGAAGTAAAGCTAAAGAAGTAACTAAGGGATGAAGGAGGAAACCTCGGAATGACAGGTTCGGGCGGGGCAAGAACGAACTAGCCAGCAAGGGCTGCAAGAAACAAGCAAAGCTTACTAATGGATAGCAACCAGGGGCTGAGCGCATCCCCGCCACATGGCTCCAAAGAACCCCACGCAGGAGGATCTGTCTTGCTGATCGCCCGAACCACTATGGCCTCATCCCAGGCGCGAAATTCAAAGTTGCCATCGGCAGAGAGGAAGCTGTTCTCGGCCAAGGTCTTGACACAACCTGTGCCAAATCAGCTTCTGGCCAAAAGCCGCTTTACAGGGAAGTCTACTCGGAACATCTCTTTACTTCGATTTGATCCCCACACACATTTGCTGCCGTGTATTTTGAAATCACTTGAATACCCTACATGTGACATCTCACATATATCTTCTTACGGCCGTCCTGACATACCCTGACATTTCTTCAAACATATATGCTAACATTTTTGCCATAATTTCCTTTGTCATCTAAATTCGAGTAAATATTTCCTGCTGTGCAGTGTGATCTTTGTCTTGAAATATTGTTTGGCATATCTTTCTGACGAATATCGTTGTTTTCCTTTGGCGATTTTATTTCGACATGCTTTCAGATATAACAGCCGCACCATCTTCGCATGTATTTTGACATACCCTGACCTTTCTTATCTTCCGTATCCTGACATATTGTGAGCATAAAGTTTGACACTTAGCGTCACATTTCTTCTGACACCAAGTCTAACATGTGTTCAGGCATGTGGTTCTGACATTCATCCAGCATCCAGACAAACATATAACCGGAGATTTCTCTTTAGTAGGTATATCCTGACACAGCTAATAACATATATCGCGATCTTCGATCCTGACAAGCAATTTAATTTGACATTGTTTCGGGCTTTTATTTTGGCATTCTATTTGGCATTTTATGTGACATTAGTTTCTAGAATTCTATCTAGCAAATTATCAGGCTATTTTGCCATTCTATCAGATATTCTATTTGTAGCATTGTACCAGATCTGGCGCCCACGGTTGCGGTCCGACATTGAGATCTGGCGCCCGCAGTTGCGGGCAGGATCGCCCAATGAGATTTTTAGCTCGCGGTTGGTACTGCAGTGCGCACTGAGATCTGGAGCTCGCGGTTGAGGTCCGGCACTGCCCAGCAGTTGAGGTCCGGCAGTGCCACTCAGATTGAGGTCTAAAATCTGGCGCCCGCGGTTAATGTCCGGTAGCCGCTCACTGACAGCCGAAGCTCGCAGTGGAGGAAGGACGAGGAGGACAAGGAGAAGGTGGGCGAGGAGGAGGAGGAAGACGAAAAAATAACTATGCTAAATTCTAGAGACCGTTGCGTGATAGGGAAAGAGCAACTCATGGCTATACTATATATGCTCCGCGCCTATGGAGGGTGGCAATGTCCTGTGTGCAAATGTGCAGATGTCGATGGAATCGAACGTCACCAGGCATTCGTAGGCTCCAGATGCTTTCATCTGGGACTTGTACTCACTCAGGTCAAAGCTGTAGATTCCGCCCCAACTGTCGAGAGGCCCAGCCGAAGAAGCTGCCTGGCACCAATTGAGTCAAACATGCTCGACAGAGCAGTTGAAAATAGAAACCGTGCACCTAATCAACCGTTTCAGTCTGACAGGCACAGAAGGAGAAAATATACCTTCGACTCTGACTCTGTCCCGGAAAAGTCTGGCCTTAAGCTCTTCCGCAAGAACATCTGTCCACATCTTGATTTCTTGGATTGCCGGGTGGTCTGCAAGCTCAGCAGCCAACTCATTCTCTGTCTTGCTATCTGTCTTCTGGCGTTTGGCTTTGGGTTCCGCCTTCTTGCCAGTCAGTCTGGTCGAAGTCGGCATGTTGGTCAGCCGACCGTGAAAGAAAAAACGCAGACGGTCCGAGAACCTTTGAGATTTGAACCAACAAAAACGCCCAAGCTTAAGGTGCGGATGGCTTTCCGCATCCTGCAATGAGAATCAATAGCATCAACTTGTCAAAACAGTTGACAGCTAATCTTCTTTTTCCGTGACTAAGCTTGATCACTGCTTCTGCCTGCGACACACAGCTGCTGAAATGTATCCCAAGCCTGCCGCGATCAGGGTTGCGAGAAGCACCGAACACAGCAACAATCACAGTGCTCCATGTCTCTTACACAATCTATATCTTGAATCTTGAATTTGAGATAAGATCGCCATAGAATCTGTGCCAAGATCACACGAAGGGAAATCAGGAGCGATTCTCTACATGCCAGCACAACCATGACTTCCTTGCAGAATTCACCATGAAAGCAACTGCATGGAACTTACGCGTGGTTAAAAATGAGAAGCACAGCAACGCATCCCAGCGAACAGTCTGCACCAAACGCCCGCACATGCACGCTGACGAGGACCCAAGGTCAAACAAGACCCTATACGATATTGAAGAAACATCCTGCAAGAGCGTAGGTCAAAGCCAGCAACATCGAAAAGAAGCCATGCAATCCACTCCCACAGCTCCGAGCCACTATTTCACCCCACTGACAGAAAACACGGATTCAAGCGAGCAGGCGCTTTTAAATCAAAGGGAGGTAAGCAAACAGGCGCTTTTTAAGCCAAGAACGCGTCTGTTGAGCGGAGTTTAGTCTATACGCAGCCTGACCAATTTAGTTTTACACCTACAGCAGGGCATTTGCACCCATATGCAACAGAAGAGGGAAAAAACATTGCGTTGAACGCGGCCACTGTCACACTCTAAAAAGGTCTTGCCCTGTTGCATTGAATCCGTACGTGCGTGCACTCTGTAGACACACCCACCGCACAACACGCCCTCCTTAGAAAATGTCTGCAAGCCCCAAGTGAGTATTGACTATACTCATAAGGCCCGGGACAGCTAGACAGCAAGCAACCCACAGGATCAAAATAACTCCGAGGAGTGAGGTTTGGAGCAAAAGAAAAAAACTGCTCAGAGTTTACCTTTGACGGTAATTTCTGACAAGTAAAATTCGGGGCAAAAGAGAAAAAAGGCTGAAGTAAACTCTGAGGAGTAGAATTCGGAGCAAAAGAGAAAAGAGGCTGTCGGTAAACTCTCAGGAGTAAAATTTGAAGCAAAAGAGAAAAAAGGCTGCTCAGAGTTTACCTTTGACGGTAAGCTCTGAGGAGTAAGATTTGGAGCAAAAGAGAGAGTTTACCTTTGACGGTAAACTCTGAGGAGTAAGAATTGGAGCAAAAGACAGAAGGCTGCTCAGACTTTACCTTTGACAGTAAACTCTGAGGAGTAAGGTTTGGAGCAAAAGGAAAAAAACTGCTCAGAGTTTACCGTTGACAGGAATGAGATTTGGAGCAAAAGACAAAAGGCTGCTCAAAGTTTGCCTTTGACAATAAACTCTGAGGAGTCGGTTTTGGTGCAAAAGAGAAAGGAGATTGCTCAGAGTTTACCTTTGACGGTAAACTTGGAGCAGAAGACAAAAAGCTGCTCAGAGTTTACCTTTGACGGTAAACTCTGAGTAGGAGGTCTCGGAGCAAAAGAGAAAAGAGTCTGCTTGGAGTTTACGTTTGACGGTAAACTCTGAGGAGTAAGATTTGGAGCAAAAGAGAAAAGGCTGCTCAGAGTTTACCTTTTACGGTAAACTCTGAAGAGTTGGTTTTGGTGCAACAGAGAAAGGAGATTGCTCAGAGTTTACCTTTGACGGTAAACTTGGAGCAAAAGACAAAAAGCTGCTCAGAGTTTACCTTTGACGGTAAACTCTGAGTAGGAGGTCTCGGAGCAAAAGAGAAAAGAGGCTGCTTGGAGTTTACGTTTGACGGTAAACTCTGAGGAGTAAGATTTGGAGCAAAAGAGAAAAGAGGCTGCTCGGAGTTTACCTTTGACGGTAAACTCTGAAGAGTAACATTCGGAACAAAAGAAAGAAAGGCTGCTCAGAGTTTACCTTTGACGGTGAACTCTGAAGAGTAAAATTCGGAGCAAAAGAGGAAAAAAAGGCTGCTCGTTTTTTACCTTTGACGGTAAACTCTGAAGAGTAGAATTTAGAGCAAAAGAGAAAAAAAGGCTGCTCAGAGTTTACCTTTGACGGTAAACTCCGAGGTTTTGGAACAAAAGAGAAAAGAGATTGCTCAGAGTTTACCTTTGACAGTAAACTCTGAGGAGCAGGTTTTGGACCTCAGAGTTTCGAGGCAAATTGAACAACTCTGAGAAGCAGTAAAAAAAAACAGGATGCTCAGAGTTTACCTTTGACGGTAAACTCTGAGGAGAAGCTTTTTAGCTGTAGAAGCAACATTTGGACATGAAACTCTGAGCAAGGCCCATGGCCAAATGTCACTTCTACATGAAGAAATCCTTTGCTCAGAGTTTACTTTTAAAGGTAAACTCTGAGAGACTCATTTTTTTTGGAGAGCCTTCAAAGTTGTTCTGCAATCCCTCAACGTTTTCTTACTGTAAGAAAGAAAGGCTATGTTCAACACAAACTGCACCAACTCACCTGCTACATCCGGCCTGAGGCTGTACGAAATCTGCAATCTGCCAATGGCCTGCCGGGATCTCTGGAAGGCGCATACCAAGGAACGAACTTGCACGCAAGGGAAAGAGTTCCAAGCAAAGGCCTGCATCAAAACAAGCGAGAAATGATTTTTGGACATGCTGCATGCTGCGCCCTCGTCATCGTGAAAAGGTCAAGCTTTTGGAGTCCTGCTAGCCATGTTAATGGCCATGAGCAACATTAATATGACGACCGGAGAAGGAGTCACTTCGGCCACTGCTGATTTAGCAGCTGCCGGGCTCAGCAAGTTCAAGCTCAGGCCACTATAGCCTTTGCAACGCAACACCTCTGACAGGCACAAAGGACGGCAAGCGTCACCATTGAAGCAAAGAACGTCCGATGAAGGCTTGACGTCTGGCAGCTTTCCCTCAACCACTTGGTGACCCTTCCACTTTTTCGAACCAGAGTCCGCCAAGAGAAAGCTGCGGCTCGCGTGTTGACTGTGTTGGTATCGGTGCGCGAGAATAGCGCCATGAACTTCATGCAGGGCAGTGTCTTTGATTGGCGACGTAGTGGCACCCTCTGGAAGCAATTTGTGCAACACAGCTCCTGTGAAAAGCTCAGCTCTCTCGTCTTTGGGATGACCTGAAGCACCAGGTGCAGGCTGTCTCCGAAACACTCTCTGTGCCGTGTTTGGCTCTCTTGCCGCCTGGATCGGAGCCGCCAGGGCCACGTCTCTTCAAGGTCACCTCTCTGCTCTGCTTCTGTTCGTAAAGACGCTGGGGATCTTCTGAAGAGAATAGGCACTTTTCGATTGAGACTCCAAAGTCAGGCAGCTTGCTCCAGGCGTCCAAAGAAGACGCCCAAAACTCATTCATTCCTTCCACTTTTGAACAGGCTGCTGCTGCGGCTGCTAGTAACATACGTTGGCCAGAGCATGGTAAACCAAAGGCATCGAAACTGTATGTTCGAAGGAAAGCTACCTGGAAGCTAGGGAAAGCCGAGGTGAATGCATCTGCCACGCGTTCCTCATCCTTTCCGCTTTGGAAAGAAATGTCCAGGACAATGACATCAGGCATAGAGCTGGGCATAGCTTCCTTGAGACGTTCCAATTTCTTCACGTGTTCTACGGCTCCAATCAAAATGAAAGGCTTCGGCACCTTGGAGCAGAAGCTTTGAAATCTAGTCTTGCTGCCATCCATGTACCGCACTCGCAAGGCAGCCTGGCAGTAGTCAGCTGCCGCTTTGCGCAGCCCTCCTTCATAGGAAACACCTGCGGTGGAGAAATCACTGTCCAAACCTGCAGAAGTCTTCAAGCAAAGCACCGGATCTATGGTACCGAAGCAAGAGACAACCCGGCGTGGGCAAGCCGGGTCAGCACCAATTGCTGCCTTGACGCGTTCTCGCCAGAACGCCTTAGCATTCATCCTAAGCACAGCATGTGAAACACTTGACTGGTCGCAAGTCCAAGTTAATCCTTGAGCCATGGAACAAGAATGGCATTCAATGTGGCATGTGAGCTGGAAAGTCGAAAATGCCGTGGCAGACCTACGTCCGACGTGACGCTGCTCGAGCTGCAACCCACCAGGAAAACCATGAACTAACTAAATTCGGTTGCGTTTTCCACCGTCAAGCCTGCAGAGCCTTGAATCCTTCTAGGCTGAAGAACGGAGGGCGCCCAATGCTTTCAGGAATGGGCAGAGGGCTAAAACCAAAGTGGTAGAGGACATGAGGTTGCCTACTATGCGCCTTTGATCTCCTTCGCTCAAGCCTTCCCAACAGGTCTGGCCAGGGTATCCGTGAGCTACAAACAACTCGGGAGCAGAAATAAAACGTTCAAGTCTGTAGTGGTACAAAGTTGACGAGGTTGTGCAGGTAGGGAGAGTTCCACGGAGACAAAGTTTGCCCCTGTCGGCGGACTGCGAAATGTCTGCCACCATGCTCCGAGAATCCTGACAAATATGAATAAAAACGAGACAATGGTGCTAAGCCAAAAAAAATGCAACGACTCCAAAAGCCAGCTGAAACGCCAAGATCGGCAAAGAGTGTTGTGAACTCTTGGCTTCTGGCGACATGTACAAATATTTCTATATCTGGCAATTTAATACGCAACCAAAAAATGTCTCTACCGAAACTGAAACAAAAGCTTTTAAACACGTGCGCGTCCTCCACCTGCTCTTGCTGAGCTAAAAACTGGCCGATGAAGAAATAGACGTCTGCCTGTGCCCTGCACCATGCTGACTTCTTCTGAAGGGCGATGTGCTTGCACGACGGACGTTCTTCTCTTGGAACAACTTTGAAGCCAGGTGGCAAGCGACCCTTCTTGAAAGCCTTCTCCAATCCACTGCTGAAATATTGAAAGTAGGCAGCTGCATCTTGAGCGTCATCGGATGCAGTCGTTTCTAAGGGATTTGAACCACCTTCTTGCTGGCTGGTTGCAGAGGCATGTGCTACCAAACAGGTGTCCAGATGATGCCTGCGCATGTTGAGCTTCACAGAGGACTGCAGTGATTCAAATTCCTGGCAAAGGACTTCTGCTGGGTGTTGCTCGCTGCGACTCAAGAAGATCAAGCAACGGTTCCTGGAAGTTCAGGGCCGTGGCGCGCGTCTCCAACAAAGAACAAAAAGAGGAAAAACTGGAAACACCGAAGGAAAAAGGCAGCAGTTTCAAAATCCTTGTCCTGTCGGCTGGCAAGGGGTGGGCAGTGGCTTCACAAGAGTGCACAGTGTACCCAGGGATCTCTCGCAGCTGCTGCAAGCAATGGTTCAAAGCTGGCTCACCGTTCCCTCCACCAGCAGCAAGCCTGGGTCTCTAATCAAAAAACACATGTCACTGCAAATCTTCGAAATTGCACTGCGGCGGGCGAACCATTTAGCAAAACGTTGAAAATCGTAAGCCTGACTCAGGATCGCGCTGAAGACCGGTAACGTTCTCCAAAAGAGCATAAAGTGGTCTTCGAGCAGCGATATCCGCTCGGGTTGCTTCCCAGGTTGGCTGAGCAATCTGTGTGACATCGTGCTGAAACCTCTTGGGATTTTGAATGGAATTCCAATGACACACAAAAGAGCTTTGGTAAAGGTCATCTTCACCACCAGCAACTGAAGAGGGCACAACGCACATTCTCGCATGCACTGCGCAAGCAGCTTGCTTGCAGGTGCTTACATCTGATGCATCCTGGGAATGGCTTCACTGCCCAAAGCTTGAAACTAAAATGGATTCAACAGAGGCCACAAACTTGGTGAACATGTTCTTTTTGTGAGCGTTTTGGCCAAGGAGCTTCAAAGAGGCATCGCGGTGCGCGATTGTTCCTGAGCAAAAAAGCTTGGCAAGCCTTGTCGCATTCCGAGCCGAACAAATCCTTGAGCTTGACCTGCTGGCCCAGGCAATGCACCATCTTTTTGAGAACGTAGCCGAAGGAGTTGACACCAGTACAGCAGCTGGAAACTGTCAAGGCTCTCTTGCACGTGCTGGAGGGAGCCAATCCATTCAAATTCCATGTGGCGCGGATGAAATCTGTCAAGGAAAACTTCTCTGCAGACAAGGTTGCCACATCTACGCGGGCATCATGGCTCTTGGGGCTAAGTTTAGACGCCGGTCTTTTCAACGTTCCTTTTCTGACGGCCTTTGGTTTTGGGGCCATAGGCGCAACTGAAGCTCTGCAAAGGCTGCAGCAATATGGATTCCTGGACTTGTCGCAGAAGCATGTCACAAACGAATCCTATGCTTTGGTCATGTGTACAAGGCATTGCACGGAAGCTGAGGTATCGCTACTTGTCACCTAAAGATGCACACAGAAGCTCACCTACCGACCCTTGCCCTTCTGTATTTGACCCGTTGCAGCTATTGGTGCTGCTTCCCCTTCAACGCAAGCAGCGCTGAGTAAGCCAGAGCCGCCTGGCAGACTCCAACTCCCCCCGTGCCCGGACCGGTGCCGTGCACAGCTTGATGGTCTCGGCGCCGGCCGGGTCAAGAAATCTCAACTTGTGGGCAACGTGGTCTGCAGCCTTTTGCTGCGCCACGGGCAAAGGCAGGCCATGAAACATGTCTTCTGCAGAAGGAAAGAGGAACCTGTGAGGGCCAGTTTGAATAAGTTCAAACAGCAAACACCCAAGTGAAAAGATATCCAGTGCAGGGGTCAATTTCATCTTCTCACGGCCGGAGCAATGACATTCAACCGGCCGATATGGCTTGCTGCAAACCAAATGTCCAAAGACGTGGCCTGGCATCTGTTGGCTGAGGCCGAAGTCAGCAAGCCAGGCTAGAGGTGGGCCGTTCTTGCTTTGGCTGTCTAAAACAAGCAAGACATTTGAGGCTTTCAAATCTAAATGTACAACTTGCTTGGCATGGATGAATTGCAGCCCCATAAAAATTTGCACTGCTAAACGGCATCGGTTCTCCAAGGCATTCTCTGGGCTGGAGATCATCAACGGGCAGCCATTCAGGTATTCGTGAAGAGAGCAGCTGGCCAAAGGCAAAAGCAAGCCCATGTCCTGGCACTTCCCCGAAATCATGGATGGGTGCGAAGTTTGGATAAACAAACATTTCGCCATAAACCAAGGTACACCATGCGATATATATATATATATACATATATATGTATATAGATATATATATATAGATATATAATCTCGTTTTCGAAAACAGCCCGTGGAAACTTCAAACCCTTCTTGGGTGGAAAACAAATGGAAGCTGGAAACATTTTGTGGAAGTCTGGTAAGCAAAGTTGCCAGAAACTTCTTCCCAATCACCCAAACAAGAGAGGCTGGTGAAAACTGCTGGCTGTAAGACCACAGCTTCTGCAAGAACATAAAAATCCCCTCTGGTAACATCCCAAACAGTCAATGGCCTGCGCAAGGTCAGACCTTGTGGGTCTAAAATCCCTCGTGCAGAGATGCTTTGAAGATACTGAAAAGTCTTGCTTTCTTGAGCGACGAGCTGTAAGCTTGGTAAACAAATCCAGAACGACTTATAGCTGCGAGAAGAATGCATAGAAAATGTATTTTGATGCTGTGTGGATAAAGGCGCGCGACGGGTAAAGCCGTCTAATGAACGACATGGGATATAAATTCAAATGCCTGTGAACTCACTGCATCCAAGTGATATGCTTTCTGGAGAAACATTGCATGACTCTCACATGAAATTCAATACATACAAATTGCTTTTAAAACTATGGCAGCTCAGGTGTCCGATGAAAATGCAAAATCAATGGCCCATGCAGTTTGGGACATTGAATCTTCAAGATGTTTATGGCTGAGTAGGGATACTCTAAGCTGGATATCCTCAGGTCCAAAGCATTTTCGCGTGGCATGGTTTGGGATGTTTGGTTTTTGAAACTGCAAAGTCCGCCGAACAAAAAAACTTTGGGATAAGGTTCTTAAGTAGGAAAAAAAGTTGCTTTCCTGAAAATTCAAGTTGGGACACAAATTTAAGCACTTTTGAGACTCTTTCGACATCTCAACTTCCAAGTGGTCCGAGAATGGCGTGCTTTTTGCACATTTTGACTTGGACATGTGCTTGGCACCACAATGGCGTGATTTTTTTCATCTCCCATCTGGCCAACTGGCTCCGCACCCGCCGCGTTAGCGAGCCTACTTATCGACCCTCCGGAGCCACAAATTTCGCGCACCTGCATCGTCTTTCTTCTCGCTTTTTCTCTTCTCTGATCTTCTATCCCTTCCCTGGTGTCTCCGTTACTCCCAGCCAGCTGTCTGACACAAGAACTCTGTTCAAACATGCGTGAAAACAATGACCAGTTTTCGGGAAGAAGCGGTGCGCAAGCGTGTCAAAACAAGCACGCAATGAAGACAGGCGCCTTCTGGCTGCTGGAAGGCAACAGTCCGAGGCAAGGAACCACGTGAGCATGGGACCCTAAATGCTGAAGAACTTCAAACTCATGAGCGAGATCACCCAGCGTAGACACATGCTCGTGGCGAGACTGAGCAATCTTCAACGCATAGAGTCGGGAAGAGCACTTCTCCCGCGCTGCAAAAACCTGGCCATAGGTTCCTTGCCCTATTCGTTCTTCGCACGAAAGTTGGCCACCTTGCCACTCGAAGATCGCCAGAGGAAGTGAAGCAGTTGGAGCCGCATCCTCCTCCAGGCTGTAGCAATGAACCCAAATAGTACTTGCCCTGAAAAACTGTCCACCAAAATGAGTTTACATGATGATGCGGCTATTCTGTAGAAAAGCTTTCAAATCTGGCCGAAAAAAAAACATTAGGTTTCCAACCCGGGCTCTTTGGCCACAGACCGAGCTATAGGCAAGCGTGCAGCAAGCCGGCACTTCTCATTCGCTGCAACCTGTGTCTGGGCAGCCCGGAAGAAAGGTTCTTTCTCTCTCGTGCTCATGCCATGCCATCGACTAGAAATTTGGCCCTTGCTGTTCACCAAGGTTTTTTACGCAGCCGGACACGCACAGGAAGTTTCACTCCCGTAGTGCTTACAAAACCACACCACAAAGAAAAAGCATTGGGTGGCCGGTTTAAGCCGAGTTCTTCGTTGGTTTTTTTTCCCATTCTGCCAATGCCTGCCTCGCTGCCTACTGGAAGCCTAAAATTCACGAGAGTGAACGAACACGCATTGCAACCTATGGCTGAAAGCAATTTCCTCAACAGACATGTTTCTCCCTGGAAAAAAACACGAAGCATTGTCTTTCTCTGCGTTCAAACATATTGCCAATCACTCCCACACGCAAATATGTCAAATCATGCTTTGAACCATTCCCGCACCCATATGTCAAATCATGCTTTTCCGCTTGCGGCACGTGCTCTGAAGCATGCCCCACACTGCACTGCAAGGCAGCCCTCGCTGCCTCATGCTCCAACGTTGGTGGAACAAAGGAGGTGGGAATCTAAGAAGCTAGGCCGGCTCATAGCAGTTGGAACACAAGTGCAAAAATTCTGTCAAATCCAAACATTTGACTTTGACATCCTTTCCATCCAGATCCTGACATCGGAGGGGTTTTGCATCGGCTTCTGCCACCAAGACATGTGTAAGTGTGGGCCACTCCACCCTGGTAAGCACATCGCCGCGATGAACTTCCAAGCGCCGGCGCTGCTGATTCTGCTTCACAGTCATGAAAGGACTCAATAGGCCCAGTTGACGGAGAACTTTGGCGTGATCTGGATGCTTGCTTTCAAATCCGGAGGTGACAAAAAGTACCATGTGGCAATGGCGCAGAACACCTCTGAATGCTGTCATCCTGCCTTCAAGGTCCATAAGCCTGGCGCCCACCATTCGCGCCAGCAAAGCCGCTGGCCCTCGCCAGCTGAGTGGCACCGATTTCACCAAGACCAAGTGCACCTCCCTGATCTCCTTGGTGCGGATCCATTTTTCAGGCAAGTGGGTGCATTGTTTCGCTTCGCTCTTCCTGACCCCTTCCAAGAACAGGTAAGGCTCAGGTGGCAACGAAGGCATTTTGGCTGCTGCTACTGGAGGGGCGCCTTTCGGCCGCATCAGGCCACCTTTCGCATCCACGTAATCCACAGGTTGCCCTGCTGCAGCAGCTCGAAAAACTGAAGCCTTCTTATCCGCAATGGCCTTCTGGTTTGCCACAGCTTTGTCAGCTGCAGCCCAATCTTCCTCGCTCAAAACAGCTTGTTCTCCAGCAACTCTTGGCACTTTGGAAACTGGTTGTGGAGTTCCCGTCGACGCCTCCAAGGCTCGTTTCTTTGCTGTTGCGTCCGTCCTTGCCTTTGAGCTAGAAGATGGCGCACTGACCTGAGGTTATGCGAACTGGTTCCCTTCTTGTTTCAGTTCTTGGCTCAAGTTTTGAGACTTGCAAACACATGGGCCCAAAGGAGAAAACACACGGAATATCCCTAAGCACGTGGAAAAAATGCGCTGCGCCAAGATACTCTTTCAGAAGCTTCTTGAACGAAGGCCTTCCGTTTCTTCCTCATGTGCCAAGCAGCTTGAGCCATTGAATTCAAGATGCCCGACTCGGATGCCCCGCCATCTGACGAAGGGATGTCACCGAGCACACCCTCCATCACGCCACCTTCCCGGACTTTGCTAGCCGCTGCTGCGCAAGAAGCAGCATGTTTCTCCAAGGTCGCTTTCTCGGACTTGTCACTCTTGTCCTTGCATATTGTAAGCCTCGGCTTTTGTGCAAGTAGCCTTTGTCGAGACAGCGAGGTAGGGGAATGGGCTTCCATGTCTCTGGCCTTGCCCGGCTTCTCGCCAAAGTAGGCTGCATACAGCCTCTGAGCTCTCAAAAGCACTTGACTGGCAGGGTGCACAGCTGTGGCTCCACCAGCGGTCTTTGCGGAGGTTGGCTTGCACAACAAAGATTCTGCATCCAAACGGGACCGGCGGCGACCCCCATCATCTTGCACCAAAAGCTTCAAGCTGATTTCCAAATTCCTGGTGGAAAGATTCGGGCGACTGTGGGCTAGGTCGCCTTTGAGATGTATGAACCGCTCCACGGTGCCAGTTCCACTCAATGCACTCAAGTAAATCTCCACCAAGCGGCAGACAGCAGAATGGGAGCTGACCCGGCGAATCTCGAACCACGTCGCCAGCCATGCTTCTTGGTGAGGAGACTCTGGTGCGTGGCATGCAGATTTGGTCCGGTGCAATTCCTTCACCCCATGCATGGAAAAATGCCATTGCGCTCGTACAAAAACACCGGTGGTCTCACCGTTGCCGAGCCAACTTTTCCAAGCTTCGGACCCGTCAATGCCAAATCGCTCACACAGAAATTTGACCCAGCGCTCTCGGTTGGGAAGCGCGATCTGCGCAGACAAATTGAAAGCCCCGAAAGCATTGGCCTCCTAGCAACACTTCAAAAGTTTGCCGTGCAGGATGCAATCGAAGACCCCTTTAACAAGTACTGCAAATCTGTTAAAAGATTATCCCGGCAAGAGACCCCAAACAGTGTGGGGGGGTAAAAGGATACTGCACTATAATATGGATGATGATGATGATGAAGAAGAAGAAGGCAATGATTCTAATGAGGACGAGGATGAGGATGAGGATGATGATGATGATGGTGATGATGATGATGATGAAGATGGGGATGAGGATGATGAGAATGGTGATCATGATGATGATGATGATCATCATCATGATGATGATGACCGCTGTGATGTTCATGATGCTGACAATAATGAGGATGAGATGATGATGATGATGATGATGAGGATGATGATGATGATGATGATGATGCTGATGATGATGATGACTCATCTGAGATAATGACCGCCTGTGATTTTCATGAATGCTGACATAATGAGGATGGGAGAAAAAATGATGATGATGATGATGCTGATGATGATGATGATGATGATGAGAGGAAGATGATGAAGTGGATGTTGAGGAGGAGGAAGATGATGATGTGGAGGGGGAGGACGTTGAGGAGGAAGACCTTTCCCAAGACCGGGAAGCACACTTTGTGCGAGCCTGCGCAGTCGAAATGCACATAGACATCCGACAAGAGCAATTTTGTGGAAATTTACAGGAAAAATGCCGGACCCCAATCCCGGGCACGGCATTTTGTACGAGCCTGCGCAATCGAAATGCACACGGACATTTCACAAGAGCCATTTTGTGTGGAAATTTACCGGTAAAATGCCGTACGCCAATCCCGCGGCAAGCATTTTGTGCGAGCCTGCGCAATCGAAACGCACATGGACATTTCTCCAGAGCCATTTCGTGTTGAAATTTACAGGGAAAAAGCCGGACGCATATGAGAACACCTCGATTAAACACCGGGCTTTAACTGTTACCGTAAGAACCCCTTCAGTGTGGCCACACTGTTTGGGGAATTTGGCTAGAGGCACTACATAGGATGAATATACAATAAGTTGGAAGGAGTTCTAACCTCATATTTTACCAACGGAGAGCAACCTAACATGCAGTAGCCAAGAAATACGGAACACCTGGACACTAAATCAACCCCGCGAATGAGAGCCACACAGTATGCAAAAACTGCAATAAACTCCTCGTACCCCGGAAAGTTTGTGTTGAAGAAGGTCTCAAAAATGTTGTAGAACCTGCAGATGCGGCGCAGCCACAAAGAGTTCGTTTTGCTAGTGTGACAGGGTGAGCAGACTACCAGCCCAATGCAATCGTATGCAGTGATCCACCTAAAACAAAAGATGCAGTCTGCCGTGGGTCAGCTGCACTTGAGATCCTGGCCTCTTCGCAATTGTCATTGGCTCCCGTCTTTCAGGCGTGTCAGGGGCTGGCCACCGAACCACCGCAGTTCGAAGCTTCTCTGGTTTCCCTCGGCCCATGAACCTCATCAGGATTCTGTTGATTGTGAAGCTTACATCCATTCGTCCTTCCAAAGAAAACTTGCTCCAACAAACTTGTTTTGGAAGTACAAAAGATGCTTGGCTCGTGCAGTCCCTACACATGCCAACATATCTACGGTCATACATGTGCTGACATGAATTCACACCCATGTTCTCCCATAAATCACGACATCGTTTCCGACATTTATTCCGAAGCATCGATATATATATATATATATATTTATTTATTTATTCATTTATTTATTTGTTTGTTTGTTTATTTATTACGTATTTGTTGATTTTATATTGCTGATATCCAACAATGAGGAGCATAAAAAGAAATAGATTATATTTATTCATTGATATCAATGTATATATATATATGTATCATTTTGACATATAATATTAATAAATACATAACTTACATAACTATATATTTATTTATCTATTCAATATACATATAGATATATATGACAACATTCACTGATCACAGGCTTGCTTTCGGAAGGAAGTCCGGTGTTGGACACCATGGCAAACAGCAAAATACAGCCGACAAAGGCCAAACAGGTGAAAAGAGGATAAGCCGACCTGAGAGCCGGAAATCCACCGCACGGAAGGCGTCGGGGCGTGATAGTTCATGAGGAGTCGAAGCAAGGAACAGATCTGCTCACCTGGTACAGCTTCAGCTGCGGGGGCGGATGTTCGCTCAGCGGGCCGCCAACAAGTGCACGGGGACTGTTGGAAATTTGCACGTTTTGCAAATCAGCTAAACATCGTCCAAGTGCAATGTTTCGATCCGACATGGCTGCAACATCCACTTGGATTCAACTTCGCCCAACAAGGTCCCAATCTCCGCCCAACTTGGACCACTTGGCTCCAACTTCGGCCCATTTTGGCTCCAATATAGCGCAACTTATAACCCCAAGTTGGAGCCGTTTGCGAGCAACTTTGGCGCAAGTTGAAGTCCACATGGCTTCAATGTGGAACACATGGCCGCCCAATTGAAAACCGGTTTTCATTGTTATTTCTAACGGTTTGCTTGGCATGGAGGATGCCACGTGTTGAGCAATGTTCCCGATGTTGTGTCTCCGGTGGGCCCACCTTGAAGGTGCGAGGGTCGAAGTTGCACCATGTTCAGCACAACCTGGACCTCCATGTACACATAGCTTCAATTTGGGGTCCCTTTGGGCCCAACTTCAGTCCAACATGACCAATTGGCGGCAACCCGGTGTCGAGTTGGGCGCAAGACGCAACAGCCCCAGACCGGGCCAATTTTGCGGATTGTATGCGACAAGCTGAGAATTTTCATGTTTAAAGCTATTTCCAAACGTCTTTTTGCTGTGATGGAGGTTCGTGCAAGGACATGTTGCCCACATTGGACTTGTTTCGCGCCCAACTTCGGAGCCAGATGCCCCCACACAGGACCAAGTTGTGCATATTAAGCCCAACTTGGGCCCAAATGTGCCCAAGTTGCGCCGTGTTGAACCCCAGCTCGGCTCAAGCTGGGCTCAAGTTGGAACCAACTGGCCCACGTGGCGCAAGTTACGGCCAAGTTGGGCCCAAGGTGGCTGACTCCTGTTCGGCTTAACTTTCGGCCAAGGACGGCCAAATTTGACCCCCAAGTTTTTGGTTGGACCAAGTAGGCCCGCAATTTCTTTTTTATCTAATTTTCTGGGTGTGGGCGGTACTCGTCGCGAGGCGACTCGAATAAAGGCCAAAAAAGTTACACAACTTTTGCCTGCGCCCAAGGCTCACTTGTCGTTCTTTCACTGCATGCAAAGCGCAATGCGTCAGTGTCTCTGAAGCATCCGGTAAAAAGATCCCCCCATGGCAAAGCATCAGCTTCAGCGTTGCAAGGCACTGCGCAGCAGCTGGAGCTTCGAGCGCAAAGTCTGCGCAAGCTTGGTCGGCAACTTTGATCAAAGGCCATGCCATGACTAGTGCATCAGCAGCCACCGCGGAGCCCACAACACGGCAATAGCCCTCGTCCCCACCAAACTCCTGGAGCAACGCAGCGGCCCAAGCACGGTCTTCCTCATCGAAGGGACCCACGGCGGCACTGACCTCCTCGAGCAAGTCGATGACCAACGGCAACAACCTGAACAGTCGGAAAAGCGGCCGCTTTCGCGAATCAAACCTGTGCTCGGCATAGGCAAAGCTCTTCAAAATGCGACTGAAGCCCACAGCACTCTCAACATCCTTCCTTTGCTTCGCTGCGAAAGCCTCAATTCAAGCTGAAGGCAGGCAAAGAATGCCGTGGGCTTCAGTTGCATTTTGAAGAGCTTTGAAGCCAAAATACATTACTTCGAGTGATCCCCACCGTGACACTATTTTGTCATAGTTTCTGAATTCTTATCTGGAACTATATATGGCATGTATTTTCAGAAAGTCTATTCTGGCATCCTTTCTGACATTCTGTTCTGACATTCTTTCTGGCATCTCTTCTAGCAAGATACTCTGACATCCTATCTGACATTCTTTCTGGCATTCTACTTGAAACATATTCTGACACTCTTTCTGGCATATACTCTGACATCCTATCTGACATTCTTTCTGGCATTTATTTTCACTTTCTATCTGCAATTCTATCTAGCATCTTTTAAGGCATTCATTCTGGGATTCTATCTGGCATCTATTCTGACATTCTGTCTGGCATTCTCTTTGGCAATCTCTCTGGCATGTGTGAGGTCCAGGGCCGCTCCAAAGCCACTCCACAGGTTCCTGAGCCCGCGATGTGGCACCAGGTCCAAAGCATTCCAAAGCCTCCCGACCTCCAAGGTTGAGACCCGGCAGTGCCCACTGTGATCTGGATCTCGCAGTTGCCGTCCGGCAGTGCCCACTGACATCTAGAGCTGGCAGTGAAAGTCCGGGACGAAGAAGGGAAAGAAGGAGGAAGAAGGAGAAGCAGAAGCACGAAAGAGGAAGTGACCCTGATAAAATCTAGGGACCTCAGCTAGTAGGAGGGGAACAACTAGCCTTTCACAAACAGTAGCTGGCTAGCCCCAACCACACGAGGCCCTCGAATTCCCACGCACTTCAATGCAAACAAAAAACGTGTGCAAATTTCTCAGATGTCTCAAGCAATCGTGCTAGTGATCGGTCTCCAGTCACCAGCTTTGCCAAGAAGTCCTTGAAAATGGATGGCAAACTGGACCAAAACTGTTTGTCCACAGAGCGAAAACGATGCGCTCGATCCCGGGTGATGAGCATGCAGTTCGGGAAAAGGCACTCATCAGCTGAAGCGCCGCCCAACCCAGAAGCCAGCGGAGATGCCTCATACAAAGCCCTTTGCTCTGTCGGGCCACCATCAGCCACCAGCGAAACACAGCAGCGTCTCAAGTTGCTGAAAGCTTCATTGTCCAAGTGGTCTGCATCGCTGCTGTGGACATTCTGCAATCTCCTTTAAGGGTTTGAACAGGCTTCCAAAAAAGCTAAACCAACCAAAATTACGGCTAGAGTCGAAAGTTTGGAGGAGCCATATACCCGGGTTTGATATTCTCAATCCGGGCGCGACCCTCAAAGCTAAGTCCTTGTTTCGACATGCACTGTGCAGGCTCTCTTCAAGACGTCTTCCAAGCTTTTGAGGACTGATCTGCTGGCGTCAGGCTCGTCGCTATCCGGCACATGGTCCCCAAGCCCCAGAAACCAGTCCTTGGAGCAATAAACATAAGACAATTTTCACGAACTTCGGGATGGATCCGCCGAAAAAAATGTGCCACGCGAAAAAAATATGCCATTTGAAACAAATCCAAGAATCGTAGATGCCGTCAGTACACAGCATCCTGCCATACACTACGACGTGCCCATGCCCCTTGTCGATTGCAAGGCTTCCACTAACCGCTCTTTTGATGCGAGCCAGGTCCAAGGCCGCTAATCTTGACCCCAGACATGCATACATCTGCCTGACCACCTTGCTGCTGCTGTCGCCTCCAGCGAGCAAAGCGCTTCCGACACTGCCAGCCTCCACGCGGCCCTGCACCCCACTGTAAGAAGCTCTGTCCACCAGGGCATTCACTGCAGCTATCCATTTGTCAAGTCTTGGCACTGACAGAGGTAAACCACTAACGTGGCCATCCACTAGATCTTCCTGGTCAGGTTGGCTTTGGCCAGGGGACTGAAGCTTTTCCAAAGCTTGCACATGGACCTTCTGCTTCTCGTGGTTCTGCAAGTTGACAGATTTAAGAGCTTGAACCTTCGTCACGGCCAATCTCCCAAAAGCTGTTTTGACGCCAGCTGAATGGCAAACCCAGCAGCCGACTTGGAAAGGTGAGTCCAAGCAAACTAGCCAAGAGGCATGACCTTGTCCAAACTTGAACACGCACTTGCGCTTCCAGGAGTGCTCCCATGAAGCTGGCTTGAGGCCCGCAGCTGACTTCCGCAAACGGCCCAAATAGCCTAGCAGCAGGGACGATTTCCAAAGATGCAATGCAATCCGCTATCCACGCTTACACACGAACCACAGGACAAGTGTGTCTTTAAGACCAACAAACTACCTACAGCAGAAGAACTCAATAGAACTCATGAACAAGAATCAAAACTTGCATGGATTCAGACCAATGGGGTGTGCAAAGCTCTGGGTAGTAACAAAAATGAGCCACCCCGCGCCACCTCTGCAGTACCTCTACGGCACCTCTACAGTACCTCCCCGGCACCTCTACAGTACCTCTCCGGCACCTCTATAGTACCTCTATGGCACCTCTACAATACCTCTGCGAAACCTGTCAGATTGACTACATAGACATATAGGCTGACAATGCAATGGAAAAACTGTGGCACCACATCGTCAACATGCTAAGGCCCAGAAAACAGACGCCACCACCATCACATGAAATATGGCCATGACACCAGCCGCAAACCAACAATGGACGCAGGTGTGGTGATCTTGCTGGCAGGTGTTCAAATGGTTTTGCAACTCCGTGCTGCTCTGCTGGCGTCCTTGCAGTATCGGCGGCGCATCGCTCACATCGGCAGCGGCTAAGGCCATGAACAACGCTAAATCTATCCTAATGGGTGTGCTGAAAAAGCGTCACTCTAGCTGTTGGAATTGTGCTTGGATACAGTTGCTGTCTTTTTTGCCAACTCTCTACGGTTTGCCTTGATTGTGCCCATGTCCATGCTGCCTCAAAAAAAAACGCACAAACATGGGCATGGCCGTCCACAAAAAACGGCTTCCACAAGCGGCCCAGCAAATCCGAACAAAGCAATCTTTCAATGAAGCTGCTTGACCCTATGTTCATAGTTTTTCCTCTTTCCAATCTCTGTGTCATCTACCTTTTGGTTTCTCTAGCTGCTCCAACTCCACTGCTAAGATTCAAGCACTCAAAATGGAGGTGATCTCATACACAGACATAAACATAAATATGTGTATATATGTATAGATATATGTACTTGTTTGTTTGTTTGTAACACGTAAGGAGCCCAACTCCCTAAAGTCCTAGTTATGGTATGCTTTAGTGGTATTCTGTGGGAGTACCTCCACTTTGGATGCTTGAACAAACCATCTTCGTCCCGACAAATCCAGCCTCAGTGCCCATCACGTTGGCAGCGCCCGTATACATATATATATATATATATATGTATATGCATGCATGCATGCATGCATGCATGCATGCATGTATGTATGTATGTATGTATGTGTGTGAGTATGTGAGTATGTGAGTATGTGAGTATGTATTTATATCTATCTATCTATCTATCTATCTATCTATATCTACCTCTCTCTCTCTCTATCTGATTTTTCTTTGATCCACTGGCAAACTGTTGGGCACAGGAGTGGAAATATGACGTGGTCCAAAGTGTGACTTGCCAAACCAATAAAGATTAAAGATTAAAGCTGAAAGCTAGGGTGGTTCAAGCTACTACTACTACTACTACTACTACAACTACAACTACAACAGCAACAACAACAACAACAACTACTACTACTACTACTAATACTACTACAACTACAGCAACTACAGCTGCAACTACAACTACGACTGTAACTGTAGAACTTTGCCGCCTTCGGATAGTTGATGCCGTACGAGGCGTGTACTGCACGTTTGTTTCTGACCATTGCAGGCAACAAGTTGGAGTTGCCCATGTCCTCTGTGAGGATCATCAATCCATCTTCACCCATCAATCCAGAGCACAGATCAGTCAGATCTACTGCTGGTGCCCATCCTGCTTCATTGTTGTCGAGCATGTCCAGGTTATTTTTTACCTGCCGCTGTCTCGCGGCCCTCCATAGAATCTCCTCACCACCAATCAAATCTTGTAGTGATGCTAGATCCTTGAAGAGGATCAACATGGAGTGCAACGTACACAAGACCCCACTCAGGTCAGTCTTGGGCTCTTGCGATTCAGCCTTCTGATTGCTATGCAAATTGGTGGCCAAATTCTGTATTGTCACTCCGCTCACAGTGTCTGGTAAGGTGAAGACGCCTGAGAACGTAGTCTTGAGGTCAGATTTGTAATCAGAACTCTTCATGGTGGAATCATGTTTGCTAATGATCCCCTCGCCCTCTGCACACTCACGCTTCAATGAGTTTTGCCAATATCTGGAATTATCAACTCCAGGGCCGTTGGCCAAGCGCCGTAGGCACATGCTCTTCCTGCCCTTCCTTCGGCTGAGTGTGGCTTGGCATCAACATAGAGAAGTGGAAAATGCCTTTGTGCAGCATGTGACACATTGTCGTGTGTATGGACTTTGACAAACCTTTTTGTCGTTCTTTTGGTTGCTACGAATCCTGCTTCAGCTGCACTATAGCCAGCAATGCCCGTTGCATTTGTGAACGACGACACTTGTGGCAAATACACCAATTTTGGTTTTGCTCTCCATGCTCCTTGTTTGCCACATCTGTTTGAAACAGACACTCTCAACGGAGTGCCTGACTTCTTTGGCCTTTTCATGAGACTTGCTATATCTAGATTCCAAACAACTCAATGGTGTGCGTGCACAGTTTAAAGCCGCTGGCTGCGGTTCTTTTGTTGCTAGCCCTTCTGCTGACACTTGACAAAGAGCTGGTCGCCCCAAAAGCTAGAAGACCTCATGCCCTTTGACTTCCTCTTCTTCTTGAGCTAATTGACCTTTCTACTAACTTTGGGCAGCTTGTTCTCTTTCGACTTCTTCATAATGTCGCTGGCATTGTCCTTCTTCTTCTCCTTGTTCTTGGACCGAGACTTTTCAGACTCAGCCGAGTCCGCACTACTTTGCTTTCTCTTTTTCGTGTTCTTCACCTTCTTCTTCTCATCATTTGATTCTTCATCTTCGGCTTTCTTCTTCTCTTGCATCGGATCATCATCTTCAACCTTGAGCTTGAAGGACTGCTTGTAGTCCCCATACTCAGCCTCTACTAGCTCGGCTATAGAAACTCCTTCTTTCGCCTTCAAACTCATGAATCTTCTTGGCCTCATCAGAATCCAACCATTCCGGGTCATTCCTGATCTCTTTGACTGTGCCTGAAGATTCTAGTCTTGCTGCAACTAATGTTGCCGCAGCATGGCTTCTTCCTTCTTTGAGCGATTTCAGAACCTCTCCAATGGTTCTCTCTTGGCATCCACCTGGTTTTGTTTCAATTTTGTGTAAGCGAATATTAAGATAAAATAGAACAAATTTGTGTTATATGTAAATAATGTTTTAAATAGTTAATATTATTTTTTATTATTGAAACAAACAACAAATAAAGCAAAAAAAACTTTAATTAAACAACATTCATATTAAACAAAATTATGATTGATTCAAAATGTATCATGCACCTTCATCCTGTGAAAGAACTTCTGCAACGCCAGAGGAATTGAAAAACCATCTCCTCTGTGTATGACGTAGTCAGAAATGTCGCCAACATCCATGGCTCACCGCAAGTCCCTCACGCCTTCAGTTTCCATTTTGGAGAGAAAGCTAGTTCAGCACTTGCCACCACACAATCCGTAAGTGAGGTTAGCATGATTTATGGAATCATGACTTATCTACAGTTCTGTAATATGTCATATTACTGTTTCATCAAAAGACGAATAACTAGAACAACACATGACTTGTGCTTGTAATCGTGTTCGAGCCGGATCATATGGGTTGGTTACCATTGCTGAAATGCTTTCAAGCAAAGCATGCAACAAGCTTAATCAACTTACCTCAGCACACGCCAACGACAATTACCATGCACAATCTAACATTACCTAATTAGTCAGTCTTAAACATGGATAGTTTAGGGCCTTACTTTACCAGGCCCTGCCCTACCAGAAAAGTCGGCGACAAGTTGTCGCGGCCCTTCAGAAGCTGGTGGCTTTCGTGCCGATCCCCAGCTGAAAACATGACACATGAAATACCCGGTTGAAATTGAACAGTTTGCTATGAAACATGACCCATTTGTATATAGAATGTATATAGAAAGTTACCTTTTAAGAAAAATTGCCGGAATGGAAAAGTCTTAGATTACCAGAATTACCAGAGCCTTGTCACAAAAAAAAAGTGTTGTTGAATCAGACTCCAGCATCATCTCGACTCGTCCGCGCAGGAGAAATCCCACCAAATCGGGTAGGATCGGCATGGCGGCAATGGCACTGGGCATCATGAAATCTGGGCCTCCACTAAAAGAACTCACCATTGATTCATGTCAAGTGATGTTGAAGCATGCTGAAGCCCTAAAAATGGAGAACTCTCTGGTTTTGTCATAAAAACTCCAAAAAAAGCAGCTTTGATATGGTGTTACGGCAATTTTTCAGGGGCCAATTTTCATCCAAGATTGGAGAATCTCAGAACCCATCCAGCCATCAAAGGCGTCCCTTGGGCCAAAACCCACTGGGGTTCCATCGTGACTGGAAGCTGTTCAGCAGCCAAGCAGCCAAGGTGTTTTTCACAACCCCTTGAATACTCATCTGGATAACTTGAAGCTGAGGCCCGTGGCCATTTTGGGATACACTAATATATATATATATACATATTATTATATACATAATTATATATTAATCATATATATATATACATATTCACCATCATTCATGTGACGTCGCAGTGAAGTTGTTATAACTGTTATGATTCATCCGGACTCATGTTTGAGTTGCAGCGACACAAAACTCATGCGCCCCAACATCACCAGGGTCCAGTGGGTCAATCCCTTGGGGATTTGTCCGCAACTTCTCCCCAGTTCGCTGTGGTTGATGTTCATGATTCATCTCATCTACAAAACACCCATTGTATTGGTCCCAAAAAAAAACAGTTTCATACATCCACCATGATTCTGGGGGGTTGAAAGCAGTTACAGTGGGATGAACTTGGTTTCATCACGTGCTCAAAACCCTGATACCTATTGGTACCATGACCTGGTACCCCGGTAACTACGTGTATTCTCATCTCCGCAAACATTGAGAATCATACAAAGTGGTGACCCCTAGCTATAATGAAGTTGGTTTTAATTACCCCGTCGAACTCTAGTTATATGATGTTATAAGCATAGTTATAAACCATAGTTATAAGCCATCATATAGCTATAGTTATAAGCCATATAACATCAATATGACTAAGCTATAATCATAAGCCATAGTTATTGCCATTGGAGTTATTTCCACTAACTTTTAACTGGGGGGCCCCAAAAAATGACCCCAAAAAAAATGGCCGATGGGCCAAGGTTCCCAGCTTCGACACGAAACTTCGACATGAAACATACTGTGGATGGTTGCGAAATCCTGCACCTTGACTGATTGAAAGCCTATGAATGATGGGAAATGATGAGAAATGATGGGATAAGCTATAGCAAAAAAAACAACTGGTGCAGGATTTCTTCCGTTCACAGTGTTTCTGGGGATGATCATCCCAAGTCTTTTCAAAGCACAGGTATTTCGAAACAATGCCCTAACCACCAGAATGACGAAAATTATGGCGGTTTCCTAAGTCATGCAAGGTGGTGCCCCAGTTCGTTAGCTCAGTTGGAGGCCAACTAACTCCAATAACTTGGGTTTATGGTAGAGATACCTATACTTCATGGGGGTTATAAACTAACTTATAACTGGGGGGCATCACCTTGTAATGTCATGGTACCCTCTGGTAAACTAACGTAACTATGGAAAATCACCATTTTTAATGGGTAAATCCACTATTTCTATGGCCATGCTCAAGTTCGCAAACTGTCACAAATTACCAGAGGGTAACTATTAACCATTAACCATAGATTATCCATAGATTATCCATATATTAACCATAGATTAACCATAGATTAACCACAAATTACCAGAGGGTACCCCAAAAAATCATCCGTTTTGCGCTCCATCATCCCATCCAGCTGGGGGCTATGGAAAGCCCTGGATATATCGCGACGAGGGCCACCAGGGATTCATCCCAGCTGAGCATAAGGGGACCATGTCAGGAGCATCATAAACCATGGAAAAAAACATGGAAAATCATGGAAAACCAAAGAGAAAACATAGAACAAGTCATAGAAAAAACAGGAATCCATAGATGACTTACTGGTGCTTAGCAGGGAATGGATAGGAATGGGGGTTGCTGGGATGATTATTACTAGTGATTATGGATCATTGCCTCATTCCCTGCGTTTAGCACCAGTAAGATGAAAGCTATGTTTCTACAGAAAGCCATCATATTCATGTCGAAGCCTCGAAGCAGAGCAACCAACAGGAACAGAGTAGACTCCCATGTTCGGGGATCATTCATTCTGACCCACAGCCATACAAGCGCAGCGCAGCAGCGCACTCTTTTCAAACGGCACTTGAAAAAAAGAAAAAGAAAGGTCTTTATTAGATTAACCTATTTCTGGTTGGCGGTATGCACCTTCAAACATGGCTCCTTTGTCAAACATTGGGCAATCCTAATCTGTAGCATGCTTGCATCAAATCACCAAATCGAGCACGGAAAACAAGAAAAGCAATTTCACCTAAGAAAATCATGGTATGTGCAGATTCCTACAGACTTCCACATTGCTTTCCAGTATAGCAAGACTGACAAGTCACTGATAGTTCCATTTTTGTCACACACATCGGTCCACCATCCAGTTGCAACCCATCGTCACACAATTTCGGTCGGATCGGGGAGGATTGGGTGTCTGAAAAGAAAGGCCGTACCCTCTGGTAAAGAGTTACACAAAACAATGGAAAGATCCACCATGCTATCAATGGGTAAATCAACGAACTTTCTATGGCCATTTTCAACAGCTATGTTAATTAATCAACTATTTCTATGGCCATTTTCAATAGCAAATTGTGAATGTTTACCAGAGGGTATCCTAGCCCATTTCTGGCAGATTCGGGACATGTTCAGCGTATTTTTGGGGGTTCCAAGAAGTTTCAGACAAACCCAATGAGTGAATTCTTTCCATATGGCCAGAGCAAGCAGTCACAGCAGGGTTCATAAGCTCTTTTGTTGGACTTGCAAGTTGGTAAACCAGGATTACCGCCTGAATAATCTGAATAGAGCAAACAAACTACAAGTGGGGGTTAACCATCTTTGAATGCCTGGAAACTAACGAAGAAAATCAACGTGTTGTTGTTGGCAGAACTCTTGATCTTCAAAGGTTTGTGGGAAACTTGTTTAAGTAGTAACGTTGATAAAGTTTTAGATCCTTTTCATGTATTGAAACTAACACAATGATAAACCATCCCCAATTGAATTGGGGATGATCTATATAAAATGACACCTCGAAAAATGCTGAGGAGATTACTGGGATGGTGAAAAAGGCATCAAGGGTGGATCCCACAAAAAAAATCCATTTAATACTCATGAAATATCCAATATAAACCCAATAAATAAACCCAACATAGACTCAATAGACCCCGCATTGTAAACAATTCTGACGACTTAAGTTTCAGGGGTCTCACTCCATCGTGCCGGGGCCATATGGCAATCCGGAAAATATCCATGGAAAATGTCATCCTGGAGCCAATCGCGAAATCAGGATGCGTGTTCGCCGGCATGGGTCAAAACCGAACGAGCTTGAACTTGAACTCGGTTGGACATTGTTTTTTGTTTGCGGTTGAACTCGTTTGGAACTCGTTTGAGCTTGAACTCGTGTGAAAAAAACATATCAATCAACCACCTCAAATTTCCTTAAATGGATTTATCGAACTTTGAAAAGTTGATCAATTGGATCTTTCGTGAGAACATGGTCAAACCAACAATGGATGACAGGGTACCTGGGATGTCAGAAAGATATAAACACATATATATATATATAGGATATACACACATGGCACAGCCAAAATCTATGTAATTCATCTATATATAATATATATAATGTATTTATATACATAAATATATATATATATACAAAAATAGATATGTACAAATGAGTAAAAAAAAAAAAAACATGCATGGAAATTAATATCCAGCATGGGATTGTCACAGGAAACATGCTCCAGCTTTGTGGGGGTTGGAAGATTGCAAGGGATCAACCTCCACTAAAACCAACATAGCTATGGAAAGTCACAAGGTTTGGGTAAAACATCGCACGGGCCATGGGCCATGGCTTCCATAGCTATATATGTAATATGTAAGTATGTATATGTGTATATTGCCATCTGGTTATTTAACATAGCCATGGAAAATCACCATTTTTAATGGGTAAACCATCTATTTCAATGGGCCATTTTCCATGGCTATGTTAAATTACCAGAGGGTATATTAGATATACATGAAATATCAAATCACCAAAGGGTATACGAATTGACGTCTCGAAAAAAGACTTCTCACCTATAACTTACCCTCTGGTAATTTGTGACAGTTTGCTAACTTGAAAATGACCCAGTCGAAATAGTTGATTTACCCTATTTTTTTACATGGTGGATCTTTCCGTCGTTTTTGTGAACCTTTACCAGGCCGGGTACTTATTTTTTTGTTGTCCAAGTGTTTACGATCCCAATCCTTGGGATTCCAATAGATTCTGAAAAAACATGATTCTTCATGAAAAAAAGTCTGTTACCCGACGGGAAAATGACTAACGTAGCCATGGAAAGATCCACCATGTTTTTCAGAACGGTAAAACAAACGTTTAAAAAAAAAACATCAACAAATACATCTATTTACAGTAACATCTATTTAACTATGGGCCCATTTGTTCCATGGCAAAGTGTTTGTCATGACCAGATGGTGCTGTCATCAGCAGCGGACACTTCGGGATAATCAAACGGCCATAATCCCCATGAATCATTTGTTTTATCCGTACGAATCAGATTATATCATTACTCACTATCTGGTTGGTGGGAAAAACCTACCCCTCTGAAAAATGATGGAGTGAAAGTCAGTTGGGATGATGACATTCCCAACTGAATGGGAAGTCATAAAATAAAAAAATATTCCAGTCACCACCAACCAGTCATTGACACATATCCAGAAATATCTGGGTAAAATATAACAATGGAAAACTGAATGGAAAGTCATAAAATTCCATGGTTCCAGTCACCACCAACCAGCAATCCCTACTGCCTATCAATCCCTGTGGATCCAGCCGTACCTTCTGGAAGTACGACTGGCGTATTATGACTAGGGTTTGTTTTGTTGTACCCTCTGGTTATTTAACAGTTCGCCACGGAAAATGGACCATAAATAGATGGTTTACCTATTAAAAATTGTGATTTTCCATGGCTATGTTACATAACCAAATGGTACCTTCTCGGACAGTGGCCATGGATCCATAGGGAATATTGATCCCAGATGTCGTGGCCACGTTCTCCTTTCGACCCACATCTTGGATATCATTATCATGCTAGGCTCGCAAGAATCGCAGCGACGATTCCGTCAGTCGGGTGCAGGTGCCGAGGTGGTTGGCAGGTTTACCATCGACTAATGGAGATTGAATCGGGAGTTAATGATGGACACATATATTAATATATATATATTATATATATATATATTGTATCATATAACCCATATGCTCCATGTATGGAACATTGACCTACATTTGCCCTAGAAATCACCCAAATGTGGGTAAATATACGGGCAAACACCTCGATTTGCCCGCGCTTGTCGGCGGCCATCTTCGTATTTGCTGAAAACGTGGTAAAAATGGGAGTTTTTTGCATCATTGCTAATTTCATGTTGTATATCGGCACGCACAGCATAGGGACCTGTGCGAGTCTCTTACACATCATCATCAGAATAATAATAATAATCATCATCATCATCATCAAACCGTTCTTGAAGATTTTCAATGAATGTAGAAGTTTAACGGGGGTGGGAGAATTAAACCCTTATTGAAGATCTTCAATGAATGTAGAAGTTTAACGGGGGTGGGAGAATTTCCCCTTATTGAAGATCTTCAATGAATGTGGAAGTTTAACGGGGGTGGGAGAATTAAACCCTTATTGAAGATCTTCAATGAATGTAGAAGTTTAACGGGGGTGGGAGAATTAAACCCTTATTGAAGATCTTCAATGAATGTAGGAGTTTAACGGGGGTGGGAAATTTATATTCCCTAAATACCCTTGTTGATCTTCCCAATTGAATGTAAATGTAAAGTCTAACGTTTGATATCCCCAAGTGTACAGCATAGAAGGGGTGTGGGCGAATCGGGGTGGTTGCGCGTAAATATACCATACATGGAGCATATGGGTAATATCATATATACAATATATCAACAATAGGATACCCCAATCTTAGATTCACAATCCCCAATGACCAGAAATGGCTGGCTCAGATGTCATAATGTCTACTCTCTGGTAAACTAACGTAGCTATGGAACATGTTCATTTTTGTTTGGTAAATCAGCTATAAATGGTCTATTTTCACTAGCTATGTTAAATTACCAGAGGGTATATATATAATAATAATGTATAATATCAACAATAGGATACAGGGTATATAGAAGTTTAAAGATCCCCATGATATCACTATGAAATCCTGTATCAATGGCCATTTCAGGCATGGATTTATTGGAGGCACGGATACCAAAGGAAAAGACCTATTTCTTAGGGCTATGGTATGGAAGGGGATATATCACCAATATATATATATATATATAGCCATGGAAAATCACCAGGTTTCATAGGTAAATCAACTATTTCAATGGCCATTTTCAATGGCTATGTTAAATTGCCAGAGGGTATATATATATATATATGTGTGTCAATGTATGGCGTTCTATGCTAGCATTTTTCACTTCAGTCTCCGGACATCGCCGCGATTAGCGACATGCGCTTACCGTGGTCAGGGCAACCTCAACTGCCTGGCTGGGAAGTCCGAGCAAATGGAGTTGCCCGTGGGAAAAATCATCTATATAATGTCTTGTTGCCATGTTTGATTACCAAATATCAATATTAGGGTAAACATAAGTTTGGAGAATTTGACTGTTTTTTGAACATCTAGATATAATGAGGTAATCTTATTGGCTATTATACCAACGCCCAAGTAACATGTCAATGTGGCGAGAACGGGGCAAAAATTGGTATCACCAATAGTTGTCAACCTACCACTTACCATCGTTGTCTCAGGAAAGACAATTGTTCACCAGAATCAATAAGTAGATATAATTAAATATAATTAGTATCATATTAGTACCAATACGAAGATAAACGGATAATGAATTATCGAACAAGATACTTGTTTTCTTCTCAATATGTACATTTCTCAATGTATTTTCGAATAACACATGTTTTTGATTGTTGTTGGCAATGTTTTTTTCAAGTTGTCTCATTGTTTACCAACCCTCCTGTGAGGTACAAAAGACCTACATTCCCAAACCTGATACGTTCCACATAAACACACTCCTAGACTCCAAACGTCTTGGCAAGAGAGCGGGTATGGGTGAAACTGTGGGTTTTGGGCATTTTTGGGCCAAAGTGGCAAAAATCTCGAGGACGCCACAAAAAAGTCTCGACCCAGCGGGTCTGAGGAGAAGCTGCACAGAGGACATGGGGTGAAATTTGGTTGTTGTTTTTTTCATAGGTTTTGTGCATTTTTGGTTGACAGTAACATCTTGCAGACGAGCAGATGGATGCTCTTACCACAAAGGCAACAAAAATAAGTGTTTCTACAATATCCACGTCTCCACCCCCCATGCATACCCCTTCTAGAGTCTTCACCCTTCAGGGGTACCTCGTCTGATTGGTAAACAGGAAAGGGCCCGAAAGGAATTGCAAGTTGGTAAACTTAATAACTAGGCTAATTAGCGGCTGATGTTTGGATTTGTATGGAATAATTGAATTATTGGGTATACATCTATGGTTAGATTGGAATCTAAAGCAACTTATGATTGGTGCGGCCCATCTTGCACTAATAACCATCAATCAATGGGGTTAACTTAACCTTGCTCACTTGAGCAGCAGTCAAGAACACTCCAACATGGAAATTCACCATGCATTTAGCTGGCGTGTTCATGAAAAAAGTTATCATCGATTACCATGGCAATCCCCTAAGCGCACCCTATAACCCCCAACACTACAGTCATATTCCAGCTGTTGAGTTTTCTCACTATTTGATACCCTCTGGTAAACTAACATAACTATGGAAAATCACCATTTTTAATGGGAAAACTCACTATAAATGGCCATTTTCAATAGCTATGTAACAAATTACCAGAGGGTAACTCAAATATCAATCATAAGTTTTAATAGTTCCATCGTGTTCCATCAGCTGAAATGAGCCCCATCTTGTGACAATGCCCGCATTGCTGGGGCTGCGACAACTTGGTGGATCCAAACCAAACCTCGAAACACGGCGGCAGCTTGTAACAAAAACCGTGGACGGTGAACGTTTACAGTTTGCGAACTGGAAAGATCCACCCATTTTTAATGGGTATTTCAACTATTTCTATGGCCATTTTACAGGGTTTTGGGCTGAACTAAATATAAGTATACTAAATTAGTATAGCATACAATATGTAGATAGATCTATTTTTAGTATCTAATTTTGACTTAGTGCCCTTTGGGGTTTTAGAAGAATCTACAATAAATCCATAGGATGGTCTGTTCAGTCCCTATTACTGAATATTTATCCCTATTAAACAATATCAAGCAACATTAATTAATATTCACCTAGACATTATGGCTTTACATCCTGATCAAACCATCATTTCTCATTTATATCAAGTATATCCCCATATGTTTGATGCCTAAAAACCCAATCCAAATATTCCAAATGCTGGTTGTATCAGTTAGATGCCCACTCACGAGGTAAACCCTGTCAACAATGTGTATTGTCAATGCTTTAATCACCCATTTTTGCTTGGTCAAATCCACTTGTTCAGTGTTACCCTCTGGTTATTTAACATAGCCATGGAAAATGGCCCATTTATAGATGGTTTACCTATCAAAAATGGTGATTTTCCATAGCTATGTTAAATAACCAGATGGTAAATCACCCATTTTTTAACCGGAACGTCTGGCGCAAGGGACACTTCCTTGACTGCCCGATCAATCTCCGAGACGTGGCGTTCTGCACCTCGCAGCCCTCGGGCAAAGAGCTCCTCGAGAAAGGTGGAACCATCGGGAAGGCTGGGGATTTCCGATTGATTGGAGGTACCTACCATATATAAGGAGGCCTAAATTTCAGGGAATATCCCCAGAAAATATGGCCAAGCATCTGGTACTAAGTTAGTACCTCCATTTTAGGATCCTGAAGATCTCCCATTGACTATTGGATGATGTTTTAACACAACGTGACTATGGTGGGATACTGGGATGTTTGCCACCAGCCAGTTATTGCGGAACCATGTAATGATTTTGGGTGATCAACATCCTCTGGTTAATCATTGTTTTCCTCAACAAAAAATGTCTATAATCATCTGTAATCCAAATATCTATGAGAAACTGTGGGTGGTTGCGAAATCCTGCACCAAGTGATAGATGTTTTATCCCACTCTTTTCGGGTTTCAACCATCCGGTTGGTGGTGTAGGATTTCGCAACCATCCACAGCAATTAGCTCATTAGCATTGTTGATTGGTTATGAAATAGGGAGCTATAAGGGATACCCTCTGGTAATTTAACGTGGCTATTGAAAATGACCATAGAAATAGTGGATTTTCCCATTAAAAATGATGATGTTCCATAGTTATGTTAGTTTACCAGAGGGTATGTGTTGTGTGGATAAACAACGATTACCCTGGGAGAATCACTGCTCCATTCAGTTGAGGACCCTTCGGAAAATGATCTACACATGATGATCTTTGCTGGGGTATACGGTAATGGTCTATGGGATAATGTATGGGATATCAATAGATATGGTTAATGATGGTTAATGATGGTTAATGTGATATTTATCTATGGGATAATGTATGGGATATTAATATTATAAATGGGATAATATGATTATGGTTATGAATAGGATGGGATATTAATGGTCAATAGATATTAATGGGATATTTTTTTATGGGATTAATGGTCAATAGATATGGTGTATGGTTATTAAATGTTATTAATATCTGGTTGGTGGTTGACCTACCCCTCTGAAAAATATGAGAAAGTCAGTTGGGATGATGACATTCCCAATATATGGGAAGTCATAAAATTCATGTTCCAAACCGCCAACCAGGATAATTATGATAGGGATATGGTTGGGTATCATCATTGAGCCACAAACAGAGCCGCAAAGAATTCCATTGATCAATGTGAACTGCCCCCATCCAGAGATGTCGGAAAACCCATGGGGTTTTAACTTTTCTGGTGGAAAATCGATGTTAGTTTCCGAAGAAGGGTAAGCCTGGTGAAAAAAAAATCAGCCTGTCAGCCATACCGTAAGTTGATTGGTTATGAACTGCTGGGCCTATGAAAAAAAGGCATGGTAGGTACCTCCAATCAATCGGTTCCTAAAATGGCCATTGAGTTAATCTGGTTGGTGGTTGACCTACCCCTCTGAAAATATGAAAGTCAGTTGGGATGATTATTCCCAATATATGGAAAAATAAAACATGTTCCAAACCACCAACCAGTAATGATACTGCAAAGAATTATCCTCCCATATCTTGCCAGAATTCTTCTGAAGCCAAGAAAAGGAAGCAGAAAACAAAGAGAAGCTGGCAAAATCTGGGAAACTGGAACAAGGCATCGAAAATCTGGAAGGAAAACCAACTACAAAACAGGCAGAGAAACGTGTTGCAAGTCGTGTGGCTATGCCCGGTACATCCAATTGCAAACATTGATTTGTATATATGATTGTGATCCATCCAGCATCGAATATGAAAGGTGTATGTCAAAGAAATCCATCGTAATCCATCCAGATTCCCGCGCTTCAGGTGAGAAACATCCACTTTCAAATCGACTTTCATCTAGGCTCACCAGTACTCATTTCCAAGTCGACTTTCATCCATAATCATCCATACATGTCCATCCAAATTTCCAATCCATTCAGGCCATTCAGGTGCCCAGTTCCATGGTTCATATCCTTGCAGGCATGTGGGCTGCAAGCCGTGTAGTCCCAGGCGGTGAAGCTTTCCCACGACCTGGTAGGAGTTTTACCCTCTGGTAAACATACGAAAAACTATGGAAAGATCCACCATTTTTCATGGGAAAATTCACTATTTCTATGGTAATTTTCCATAGTTTTTTGTATATGGTGATTTTCCATAGTTTTTGTATGTTTACCAGAGGGTACCAGTTTTCCATCGTTTTACCCAGTTGACCCTCCAAATCCCTCAACAAAAAATGCGAAACGCACTCAAATTATGGGCGAAAACATCATGTTGATGGGCATAAACGGAGTTTTGTTCATTCAAAAAGATGGATTCGGGGGTTTCAACCTTGGGGATAAACATGCAGAAAATCATCTAACTGGTGGTTGACCTACCCCTCTGAAAAATATGAGTTTGTCAGTTGGGATGATTATTCCCAATATATGGAAAAATAAAAAATGTATAAAAATGTTCCAAACCACCAACCAGTAGTCTAACTATCTATATCTATACTGATTAAAATCAGCAACTGCGGGGTATTTTCATCCAACCACAATGGTCATGGGATACACTGGGTGAGAAAGGTACCCTCTGGTAATTTAACGTAGCTATTGAAAATGACTATTAATAGTGGATTTTCCCATTAAAAATGGTGATTTTCAATAGCTATGTTAAATTACCAGAGGGTAACTCCCCAATCCTTCAAAAGTCAGCACTACATTGAGCCTAGTGCCAAGAAATATCCCATGTCTTTGGTCCATGTGAAATCCCAGCGATTTTGCCAAAACATCGCCTCTGGTTATGGAAACCACTTTGAGAAGTCATGGAGCCATGGCCTTTTTTTTTTTACTTCGATGATAAAGATAACTGGTTGGTGGTTGACCTACCCGTCTGAAGAATATGAAAGTCAATGGGAAGGATGACATCCCATATATTATGGAAAATAAAACATGTTCCAAACAACCAACCAGATAAGATATGATTTACCGTTCAAAAAAAATGGTGATGATCCCTGGTTGGTGGTTGACCTACCCAACCCCTCTGAAAAATGACGGAGTGAAAGTCGGCTGGGATTACTTGACATTCCCAATATGAATGGAAAGTCAATCCAAATTCCATGGTTCCAGTCACCACCAACCAGATTATCATCTATTTATCATCCCATTATTGGCTATATATTCCCATTCATTCCCATATATTGTTGGTTATATCACCGTTCACCATGTCGTCATCGTCGGGTGAATCTTTAGTTCCATGGATCCCTTCTGGGCCATGCCACCCAGGAATCAGTGACGTGACGTGACGTTACTTGCCATCGCTGAGTCCGGTGGAATTTACGGTGCAACCAGATCCAAGTGGCATCCTCCGGAAACTACAGAACTATGAATACTACTCTGTGGAAAAACTGCAGCACCATCTGATAGAATTCTTATGGTAAGTTATCACATTCAAATAAAAAATGTACCCTCTGGTAAACTAACATAGCTATTGAACATGACCATAGAAATAGTTGATTTTCCCATTAAGAATTGTGATTTTCCATAGTTTTATGTTGGTTTACCAGAGGGTATGTAAAAGTTGACGTGACAACAATCTGGTTGGTGGTTTCAACCATCTTGAAAAATATGAAAGTCAATGGGAAGGATTATCCCATAGATGATGGAAAATACAAAATGTTCCAAACCACCAACCAGTAGTTTACTAATTGGGGAGTACCATTTATGAATCGGACATATCATGAAACATATAACTCACCTTTGGGACCGCCCCAATTTTTCATAAACTGGGGGTTCATTCATCTGGGGTTTTCACATTCTCAAACTACCTATCCAAGGTTGACCCAAGGAATGTGGCGCTAAGTCGAGGACTTCATATCCAGCACTTGCACGCGCTTATCGCCTGCATCCCATGGCTGAGGAAAGGTCTTGGGGTTTGTCTCCAAACGCTTGACACCTCCAATTGCTTCAATTCTTACGCGGATGATTACCCTCTAGTAAACTAACAGTTTGCTCTGGAACATTTCAATTCATAGTTGATTGACCTATCAAAAAGAGTGATTTTCCATAGCTAGACTAGTTTACCAGAGGGTAACCATGGGTTTAAAACTTGGAGTTCGACACTTTGCGACAAGCCAAGACGTGACTGCCATACTTTCAACTGCGAAGTTATGAAACATGAAGTAATATATGTATACTGTATATAAAAATGTCCATAATCACCATAATCACCATAATGCACATATACATATACTGAATAAATATATACATCTATATAGGATACAATGTCCACAATCACTTCATGTTCGTTTAGCTTTTGACCACCATGTTCGATGGTTGATCATTTGCGAATGGTGTAGGCGGGGGATGGCGGAAATCCCACCCATAAACAAATGTGGCAAAGTTGTGATGGTTTATGACATTGGGTTTTGCCACATTATACCACATTATATGATTAGAACTGATCCCATAAATACATATACGGATATATATATATATATGTATATGTATGTATATATTGTATGGGGATGGTGTATGACATTGCGTTTACCACATTATATGATTAAATCATATATATATATATATAATGTGAATAAATGACATCAACATTTCATGCGATCCATTCGTGAAGTCTTGAAGGTTCAGCTACACGTCTCTAATCTAGTCATGCTACGTGTACTCGTGCGTGTTTTTCGTGTAATTTCCCAGCAAGTCAAAATAACTTGGCATTTCCAATACATGAGGATTTCAATTGAATATTTCGAAAGTGGTAATGTATTTCCAACAAATATATATATATATAACAAAGAACATTGATTTTGCAGGTGTATTTCCAATGGAGTATTTCAAGCCCAGTTCTCCAATCAACTCCGTAGTAAGGTCCAAAACAATCAGTGGCAGTTCTGTAGTTCAGAGCTCTTTATCCAGTTGCAATAGCTTGGTGTATCAAGATGGAACTAATCCAATTGCAGTTCTAGGGTTGACTCCACCTTGAATCAACCCAGGGACACAATAGATCATATAATATAATATAACATAATATAATATAATAAAAAATAATATAATAATAATATTAAAAAAATAATATAATGAAATATAATAATAAATAACATAATAAAATATAATATAGAATAATTTAATATGATATATAATGATACAATATATATATAATATTAAAATACAATACAATACAACAAAACATAACATGACATAACATAACATAATATAACAACATATGATATAGTATAACGTAAGATAATTGATATAATATAATATATACTTAGTGGGCTAAACCACAAAGTGTTCTGCCGAGTTTGCCAAGTCATACATTCTTCACATAAAGGTTTACACATTTATATCAAGGCAGTCACCATTAATAGGGGTCAACTGGGCATGTTTCCTCCATCAACATCATTTGCTGGGTGTCTCTAAGCGTTTTAACCACAGCTTCATCAATATGATCCCTTTTGCAAATCTAATCTTACGATGGACAAATGATTTTTAATCATACCCTCTGGTAAAAAAAAATACATAACTATGAATAATCACCATTTATTTCATGGAAAAAATCAGCAACTATTTCAAAATTTCTATGGCCATTTTCCAGTTCGCAAACTGTGAATGTTTACCAGGCCGGGTATGCTCGCCCATAGACATCCACCGAAGAATCTGTAGCAATGCACCGTAAAATCTTCCGTTGGACATCATGGTGTTCACTCTTAATTTAACGAATTGACGTCCAATTAACCCGTACATGAACCCATCAAAACTCTTAATCTGATGTTTAATAGTTAACTTAAGCGTTGATCCATTTAACCTCCACTTGGCCAACTGTAGATTGAATGTAAAAGAGAACTCAAACCATAGATTTCCAGACATTTATCCATTGGAACCATGAACAATACACCTGTCCCATATAATCATACTAGTTGGTTGATAGGTATCCCTGTATCCCTTTTATGGATTGTCATGGTTTCCAACAAGCTAGTATTACCCCTCACAAATGAACCAATCAACAATGAGATGGACGTTTCCAACAAGTCATGGGGGTACCATTATAAATCATCTATTTAGTTCGATGGATTTTCTGATTTTAATAAACCATCCAGCGATGGTAAGGGGAACATTGTGGAACGCATCCATATCAGTGGCTGCCAGTGGCTCCTTTAAAAGATGTCATGGCACCATCCCCAGCATCGTCCGCCTGCATAGAGCTCGCGGTTGCCACCACTGATGTCAAACAGCAAGGTACGGCCCACGCAGGGCACAATCCTTAGCGGCGATAGCCAACTGTTACAGTTATGGCCCAACTAACACTTAAAAATGATGATAAAACACTATAAATACCGATGTTTTATGCATTTGGGGGGTCTAAAACCCTAGTAAAACGCACTTTTTTATCATGATCTTGACATGAGATATACAAAAACATTGACAAGCACAATTTAGATGCACCAAACATCGACAGGCACCAAAAAAAGAATCCAGCAACTACTCAGAAGTGGACCCATAGTTCCTGGAAATTTTAGTTTTTTTTGTTTTTTTTTGGTGCCTGTGCGGGTTTGGTGCATCTAGTGGTTTGTTTTTTTTGGTGCCTGTGCAGGTTTGGTGACTCTGACTTCACAAAACATTGACAGGCACCAAAAAAACAAAAAACAAACCACTAGATGCACCAAACATCGACAGGCACCAAAAATAAAAAATCCAGCAACTACTCAGAAGTGGACCCATAGTTCCTGGAAATTTTAGTTTTTTTTGGTGCCTGTACAGGTTTTGGTGACTCTAGATTGTGTATGTTTGGATCTTGGCCATAGTTTAAACTGATGTTTCAAAGAAGCAAACATACAATGATCTTTGAATAGCTATGCCACCACACAGGTTGCCTGATCTTAATAGTCAACAGCATGACACACTTCTCTGTCTCTCTGGCTTTCTCTCTCTATCTCTCTCTCTCTCTCTAACTATTGAAATGAGACTGCTGATAAGACTCTGCAAAATAACAATGATAAACAAGATATGTACCTACTTCTTGAGTTGTAACATTCCCACCATCCTTCTTATCCAGAGTGTTAGATGTTTGTGTATATCCACCTACATAATGTATGCCCTTCCCACCATACTTCTTATGTAGCGCAAATGCTATATACATTATATACAATATATGTTGAGATGATATCAACCTAACAAGTTCATGAAGAAAAAACAATATCATATCAATTGCTTCTAGCAATAGGATTTCTCCATCACCTCCATCACACTGGTCACCTATTGCTACTGTATATTCTGTTCCAAGATGCGCAGCTACCGATTCTTATGGCATGCTGTGCAGCAAATGTTTTCTGTTATGTGCTGATTGTTTGTAGTTTTTTGGAAGCCTCACAGGAAAAATTGAATCCTGTCACAAGAGTCTGTAGATGCCAGTGATTTATGACAGCATATGATAGCCTTTGGAGGTGAACTCTATTTTTTACTCTAAAATAACCAGTATGTTTGACCATTTTTTAGAGCAAAAATCACTCCCCCATGGGGTCGTTCTGTATTTTTATGGGTTTATTTCATGATATATATATATATATCTATCTATCTATCTATCTTACTTATCTATCTATCTTACTTATCTATCTATCTTACTTATCTATCAATCTTATCTATCAATCTTATCTATCACTCTATCTATCTATCTATCTATCTATCTACCTATCTATCTATCTATATATATATATATCTATCTATCTATCTAATCTATGTATCCAATCTATCTATCTATCTATCTACCTATCTATCTATATATATATATATATCTATCTATCTATCTAATCTATGTATCCAACCTATCTATCTATCTATCTATCTGATAATATATATATATATACAGTAACCCTAGTAGTTCGAATCCCATTTATAACTGTTATTTGGGCCATTGCCGTAGATGGGGATGGGTCAAAAGCTCTGAGATGGCCATAGGGGAATCACCATCCCTTCACGTACCCAGGGTACATGCACTTTAAAGATTTAACATGTTTTTTTTTTTTCTCCCTCAGAAATGGGGAAGTAATCAATATAATATAATCATAACATATAAATATATATATATATACCAGTATATATATATATATATTCCAGAGAATTCTCGGCTATGTAGCTTTATTGAATGGGATTCACCCATCACTAAGGGTACTCTGGAGTCGCAGAACGAACGGATGGGTCCATGGTGAAAATACCAGGCTGCCCATATACCATCCAAATAACAAAAGAAAGTAATAGTACTAAAATTCTGAGCAAAACACAATGTGTATATGATATATATATATATAATATATAATATAATATAATATAATATAATATATATATATATACATTATGTGTTTTGTTTTTCCCTAGGGTCTAGGTAGTCAACTGATGTCAACTGGGTAAACATGAACAGTTTTATACCTCAGGGGCACCACTGGGCCAGGCATCATGTCGGGAACAGGGAGAAAACTCACCTCAACGAACGACGACGGTGGCGTGGCCCCTCCCACGTGTTGCGGGATCCACCCAGGGAAAATGACGGGTTTTTTGAGCGATTTCACTCATGATTAGTTTTGACCCTGAAAATTAAGAGTTTGACCCTGAAAACAGCCAATTTTGAGTGGAATCTAATCTTCCAACCCCGAAAAATGGCAGGGTCTCTGTTAATTTACTCGAGGGTAATGTGATTCACCATCAAATCTAATGATTTCCCCTCCAGTAAATTCGCAAAACAATATTTGATGGTTGACCATCAGAACCATCAGAATGTCGATTGCAAATCTGTCAGTAAACCCCTATGTTCAACCTCACCAACATCATATATTCATACCCAATATATGCATATAATATATTGTTATTGCAAATGTTGGGGTACACCCCCTGTCATTCTGATGATTGCCATAAACAAATTGCAATTATTGACATATATATATATATTTATTTATTTATGTGGTGTTTTTGTTTCGCTCTTATAATGTGTTTCCCATCAAATCTTACTACGTGAATTGAGAAATTGACACCGAAATCTGGATTCGGAAGGTCCAGCGAAAACATGACAAGAAAACATGGCCCCATGGCCCGGAATCCACGAGAAATATATGTGACATGTGTCTAGCTGTCTAGCTTGGTATGTAGTATAAATATTAGTATAAATATATGTATAAATCGCGAGAAATATTGTAATCAGTCACTAAATTAGTGAGGCGATTTTATAGGATCATTCCCTGAATCCTATTCGCATGATTCCAGGGTTCGTTTTCTCAATGAGGTCGCTAAATGTTACCCAGAAATTATGGCCATCGCAATCAACCATCATCTCTCAGTGCTGGTTCCATTTTATTCTAAATCTCTATGATTTCAACAGGCAATATTTCCAGACACCCCAACAAAGAAGAAACTAGTTGCGGCAAGTGTCTTTGATCCCAAAACATGTATACCCTCTGGTAAACGTTTACATAACTATGGAAAATCACCATGCTATTAATAGGTAAATCAACTATTTTCATGGCCATTTTCAATGGCAAACTGTCACAAATTACAAGAGGGTAGATGGAGATCCATCTTCGCCCTTCCATATCTTCCCACCCTCGCTGAAACTCAGGTCCAGTCACCCCGCGGCCGGGGAAATATCCATCCATCACCGCGGGCAAGCACTGCAGGTTGCTGCAGAGCCGCGGGGAAGTCAAAAACGGGAAGACGCTGGTGGCTGCAATCATGGCACCTTGCGAAATCATGGCGCGGATCTCAGGATACCATGGCACCATCCATTTTCCATGAAAAACTGGGATTTTGTTCACAAGAAACACGATAATTTTACTATCAAAGATAGGACTTTCACCAGAAATCAGATTTTCTACCACGAAATCATATGGGGATTCAACATGACACAGCAAGAAAAATCCCTAGGATTATCCCTTTAGTCGGTGAAGCAACTGCACAGTGACTCGGGATGCGACTTGGAATTACTATCAAACAAGGGCCGGGGACTTCAAAGATGATCATTATAATCTATATGTATATATGTATTATAAATCTATGACTATCTATGTATGATATAGTATATCTAGGATTATCTACAATATTAAATAGTATATCTATGATTATCTATGTATGATATTATGTCGCCATGATCTATCATAGATTATGATCATTATAGAGTCAAAGATCATAGATGAGCGGAAATCATTTGGACAATTTATGTTACGACCACGCGTCACAACGCTGCTAAGTTCGTGAAACTGTGCGGGGAATATGTGGCTTCAATCCATCGTACTCGTACGATATGTTTGCGCAGGATGCATGATTTGAGTCAAGGTAAACCAACCATTTTGAGATACCCTCTGGTAAACTAACATAACTATGGAACATCACCATTTTTAATGGGTAAATCCGCTATAAATGGCCATGTTCAATAGCTATGTTAGTTTACCAGAGGGTAAACAACCCTGCAGATTGTTTATCACCATAAACCAACCATTCGCGGTTTCGATAGTAGCGGTTCTTCAAGTTTGAGATAAATTTGCAGGAAAACTCCCCTCTTTGCATGGCAACGCAGCAACAACTGATTGATTTAGGAAGCATTTGGATCCATAGGGTGCATAGGCATAAATAATCATATATATATATATACACACATACATACAGTATATGTACATGATATTGTGGGTATATATTGATCCAATTTTGCCAGTTCAAAAGTCATGTTGGTTCTGCTTAATTTTTCCATGCAAGAAGTGTTCAAAACCCTGTGTTATGCCTGGATTCCTATTATGGGTAAGAATCCCCAAGAAATCAGGTGACAACCAACCCAGCCATGATTTATAAAACAATGTCCCCATATTCTTGATTGTTAAAACATAAAACAAGTGAAAATGAGAATTATCATTGCATAACTATAACTCATCAATCGTAACCCCCCCCAACCAATCAACTATCAACCAAAGATTCGGGATGATATCGTAAGTGTTGGTCCTCAGGAACAATATTATGTGCGATTGTCATGATGGTTATATCCCTTTTAATATAAAGAAGCCCTGGAATTCTCTTCCAAGAACATAACTTTCAAAAAATACGGATCATCCATTGAACGTGTTTTCTTGGACCTTTTCATGGTTTGTCCTGGAATGATGGCTATATCATTGAATAAGCGGCTTGACACATATCCTTGGGAAAAATAGTTCATTACATAGTCATTCTATGTCATTATACTCAAACACAACAATATCCCCATTGAATCAGTCCTAGACTTATATATTTATCTACAAACAAACATATACCATCTGGAATTCAAAAGTGTCAATAAAGCAATAACACAATTTAGTTCGATGAATTTCAAACTAAATTCTTCATTAATAAGGATTTTAAGAAACAGTACCCTTTGGTTATTTAACATAGCCATGGTATAGATGGCCCATGTATAGACGGTTTGCCGTTCTAAAAAATGGGTGGATTTTTCCATGGCAAACTGTTAGTCATAACCAGTTGGTAATTCCGATTGGCCGTTTTTTGATTTTCATGGATGGTATCCGGCTCACATCAACAGTTTCTCTTCCAAACCCTGCGTCGTCTAAATTTTTGCTGACCAGTATATAAATAATCCACTATACTTATCAACCAACCATCATCAATGAACTATATCCCCATATGGGTGGTGGTATGTGGTGTTTGTAAGTATATAAGTACACTATGGTTAAATCTGCACGTGCTTGATAGTCATGACAAATACTGGTTGGTGAATAAATATTCCGGTTATGAATTATAATAATCCCTAATAAACCAGTTGGTATAACCCCTATCAACATCTTATTAGCCCATCAACACCATGTGTTGCTGATCAAAGGACTACTCATCAAAGCTGTTTCAGCACACCTGGAAAATACATCCTACATACCTAATCATTACATCATTTCCTTATACTGTAAACTATGGTTTACCATTCGAACTATCTATCATGACCGTCGTTGATGGTTTTTACAAACAGTACAGTATGTTTTTTTTTCACGATTTTCCTGCTGGAATCTGCAGTTTTGATGATTCATGAAATATGAGTTGGTTGACAACGGTTTCTCTACACTGGCTGAGACAATAATCCCCAAAAAAAAAATGAGGTTGTATAACACATCAACCAGGCTATAACTACGGTTTCCCCATGTTTTTCGACCTAAACATACCATCTGGGTCAATTATCATATTTCACTAACCTGAAATCTTGGGCCATTTGGAGATGATTTCTCTCATTAACCATGATTCCAGGGCTCGGGAGAACAGGGTTCGGTCGTGATCAAATTTACCCAGATACCATGTCATGCAAACCGAGGCAGTTTTCATAGCTGTGTTGACCACACTGCAAGGGGCAAGCAGGCGGCACCTAGGCCGCTGGGGCTCTCAAAGTCAGGACCGCTACGCACCGCGAAGCGATAGCAGCGGCTGCCACTCTCGCGTCTCAAGCTGCAGGCAAAAAACCTCGGGGATCACTGTGTGGTTTAAGAATCTATAGAACTAAATGATTTAACTATACTATAGAATCTAGAACTAAATGATTGAACTACGTATATTAGATATATATATATATATATTTGAATTTAGAATGACTAAAATAGAACTTATGAATGAAGATTCAGAATGTTCAGAATGTGGTGATAGGATTGGGTATAGGAATGATAGCAATGATAAAGGATATCGAAAATAATTGACTATTACCCGCATATAAATGATTACAAATAGGACAAACTACTGGACTTAGTGACCAGGGTCACGAAATGGATTTATTGAGGTTTGACGGAATGGACATAAGGATGGTTCTCCGATTGAGAATGTTGATGGTAAGACTAAGTATAGAATGGACAGTAGCATAGAGCTATATAATAGAACCATTGTAGTTAAGGATTTGTTTTGACCTGATAGAATGTAAATGATGATTAAACTAAAAAATATAACATATAGAACAGTTTTAACATCAATGTTAATGCTGGCCAAAAAAAAGATCTGGGGTTTACTTGGAGGATCATTTCAGGATTTGTTTATGCAGTTTGTGTAGGCGTGGGGTTAGTTTACCCTCTTATGAATCGGATAATCTACTGAATGGGGACTTAGGGACCAGGATTACATATTAACCACTTACTAAGTGGGATGATCCTCCAAGTAAGGATTGAACATGTTGATGATAGTAACCATACAGCTGTAGAATGGAAAATATGTAAAACTACATAATGGAAAAGAACAAACAATGAGAAAAACCAATATGTTATGATAGTCGTAATGGTTGATAATGGTTGAGAATGATTGAGAATGATTGAAAATGATTGATAATGAATGATAATGGTTGATAATGATTGATAATGGTTGATAACGATTGATAATGAATGATACTGATTGATAATGATTGATAATGATTGAAAATGATTGATAATGTTTGATAATGATTAACGAATAATAAGTTAATAAAACAGTATATAATCAAGTCTAGGTACTATATATAGAGATTATGAAGATATTATATCGATCAGCAATAAAACTATAATCACAAATAATGGGTTCTGGAATAAACATATATAAATAAATAAAAAAAAAAATGATAACAAAACTATACAATATACAATGATGATAACATTGCTTCTATTCAAAGTGATTGGTTTTAAGGAAAAACGTTGCCAATCTATCGGAAACATGAGTACAACATGTTTTTTGTGGTCCCATGTTTAGTAAAAAAAAACAGATTTCTATGATGGGTCATACCATGGGTAATGGACAACCAGCCCATTTGTTCAAAAGTATCGATCAGAGACACATTTTTTGGGAGAGACAGGTTTGTTTGAATAATGGCTACCCCAAAATTGTGTGATTTATCGCAAGATTCACTATTAAAGCGCCAAACATGATCAAGCGCTGAAAGTCGTCGTAAGTCACAAGTGAGGAGTTCAGTCATCAATAACCAATTCATGACTTACATCAATGATGAACTAAGGACGAGGTCAATTGACGACTTCAACAATCGCCGATATGAGGCTACAGCAACCGCAAAAGCAGGTAGAACAGTGTTTCCAGGATGCTAGTTCGATGATTTTACTCCATACGATGAAACATTTCCGGAACTTTTCAGCATCTTTTTGGGGGCTACTGTAGAACAATCTGCACTCAAAGCGGCCAAATTAAGAGCTTTCCTTTGGAAGTGATCGCGGCATAGGCTCCTTGCGGGCTGAACTGCAGAGGGTTTTGTTCATGGGTGAACCATACAGATTGAACTGCACACAACGGGGAAACCATGGGAAAACGGATGAAAAACGTTTTTTGGAGCAGTAAGAAGCATATCTATTTGGGTTGGTCAAAAACACTTGGGAATACCAGAGGGAAGGAATGGATGAATGAATGACAAGTTGAATAATTAGTTGAACAGGACAATTTGATGATCAACCATTTTTTAAGTCAGCTATTTTCAACAAACCCGACTATGGCTTCCAAATTCCACATGATTTTGTGGTCATATTCCTAGACCCTCCAAGTATCCAAAAAAAATGTTTTGCCTCATAATGTTATTATTTTATCATATTGTTGGGTGGTATTTGGAATATTTGGAGGGTCTAGGTATGGTTAATAGATGGGTACTTATCCAACGTATGAACCATATATTAACCATAGATTAAGCATATATTCAGCATGCATTAAGCATATACCAGTAGATGAACCATACACTAAGCATATATTAACCATACTAACCATATACTAACCATATGCTACTGTAACCATATACTCACCATGTGGTTCCCCTTTGAATCAATGGCCCGCTTAGGCTTGGTGCCGGCGGTCAGCCTGGAGTCTTCATCTTCGCTTGATGGGCCAAGGAAGTGGCAAAGCTTTCGACGGCTTGGCAGCCAGGCAGCAGCAAGGAGAAGGGGAAGGGAAACAGATAGACCTTGGCTGAATGACTATTTCTATTTGGGAAAATCATGATGATGATAATGATGATGATGATGATGATGATAGATGATAGATGATAGATGATAGATGATATATGATGGATGATAGATCATAGATCATAGATCAAAGATCATAGATCATAGATGATAGATGATTAATATATTCAAATACAGATTATTGTGGATTATAGATTTATAGACTATAGATGATAATTTATGATAGATGAATTCAATATGATATATATATATATATAAATGGTGATGATGATGATGATGATGGTGATGATGATGATGATGACGATGATGATGATTATGATTATGATTATGATGATGATGGTGATGAATTGACCTGGCGCGACAACTGCATCTGAGTTGGTTATGCTTTTCTAAAACCAACCGATTTGAGAATATTCTATCAGATTTCATTGAATGCAAGAAGATAGGGGTTGCTGAAACTCATAGTTTTAAAAAAATGAAAATAAGGGTGTGCTGTAAACTTCCCCCCTATCCAAGTCTCGGAATTCAGGATCAAGATTTGCTGGAGACAGTGCGAACATATGATTCCTTTGCGCTATTCTGCTGGGTTGAGTTGGCATATCGCACATGGTCAGATTAGCATTGGGATAATGAGTTAATGACGGGGAACCTTGAACCCCCACTCGTTCCAAAGAATAGTTGAATTGTTATGGACTTGAAATGATTATCCTCTGCAGGAATCAAACGTGGCTGGGAAATCCCCGAATTATGGAAGTTCCTCGTTCGTTGGGAAAAGACCATCGAGCTATTGCTGGTGGATTTTCCAGCCATGTTTTTGTCCGGCCAGAAAACATATGGAGGAAATACTACCCTTTTCATCAGCCAACCACCATCTCGGGCTGTGCCACTTGAAGCTTAGTTTTGCATAGGGAACATTGGGTAGCGCTAGCTGTGTCATGAATTGTCCTATTATTGGACAACATTTGAATGTCAATGCTTCGGTGATAAAATGATCCCCTGATACTGCCCAGGTTTCATGTTAGTGTGGTAAACCCAACAATAAACTATCCTCCAACAATTACCATAAATAAGTGGTAATATTATCACCCAACGGTATGACATTGGGTTTACTAATTCGGGACCCACCGTTGCTCATCAAGAATACGTTGCTGGGTTCAGACATGTTGACATGCCTAGACCCTCCAAGTACCCCCCAAAAATGGTAAGAATACTGAAATATACTAAAATCATGAGGTGAAACACAATCTTCATTGCTACTTGGAGGGTGTTTATGGAATCCAACTCAGTTTTTTCCAAGGTGCTGCCCTTATTTTGCGATAATGAATGATGTTGAATGTCGAATCATTGCAGAATTGACCATGTGGTTTAGTCGGTATACCCCCAGCATCCACTACCATGGCAGTTCTGGCAGAATATATCATGATGAACCATCGCCTTTTAGGAGTACCACATGTATGAACACATAATCATTTATGCCAAAGCCAACCATTGACCAACCAAGGTTTCATAGTAAATCATATGTTTTTTTGGGGAGCCAATCACATTAACCCACAAACAGATGGTCATGGCTCGAATCAAAAGCGACCAATGGACCCACTAAGGGCATGCAGATTTATGCAGATTTGGAAGGTCAATGATATAGCATATGGGTATGGCTCAAATTTCCCAGACTGCAAGTTAAATACTGGATGGGGTATCAATATTCAAGTACGAGTTCAATATATATATATATATATACACATATATATACATATATATATATATATATCATTTAGCTAAATCTATTGCAACAAAAAAGGCATGTGATTGGGAAAATCTTTGTAGCCCCTTGGCTCCTGCCTGATAGGAAATAAGAGCCGAGTGACCAAGCTAACGGCTGAGAGAATGCCTATGGAAAAATGTGGCCGGAAGTGTGTGTTTCATCACCACAACTGGTTAAGCACCAAAGATGTGGATTAAATCAGCAAATTATCAAAAACAGACTCCAAAAAAGGTTCAGAACATCGAAGAAGTTCGGAGCGGTGGATCCAATATGACTTCGAAAAAGTGTTAAATCAATGGATAAATATAGATTGTTGATTGAGACACAGGGGTTCTTCATTAGGGGAGTTGTGGAAATTCCCGGGAATTTTGCCGAGGGAAATCCTGAGATCAAAATATCATTGGGAACTGGGAATCGAAGATGGGAAGTTGGGGAGAGAACTCATGGGGTTTAAGCGTTAAGCGTGATCACCCGTTTGGAGATTGGGTACTTGTCTTATAGGAAAAAGTACCCTCTGGTAATTTGTGACATAGCTATTGAACATGGTGATTTATAGTGAATTTATACCCATTGAACATGGTGATTTTCCATACTTATGTTAGTTTACCAGAGGGTATCAGGTAAGGTGGTGCCCCAGATATTGGGAAGTTCAAAGGTTACTGTAACTTGGCAATGTTGTTAAAAATCATTGGCATAACCATCAATCGTGGGGATAGCAGTCGGAACTGCTTAGCCATGCCCCAGTTGAAGGGATGGGATTTCTCGAACATCCACCGGAAAAGAAAGGTGTCGATTTTTGTTGCCAGGTTGAACCACTGGTCCGAGTACGGGGTTGATCCCCATAATCTCCGGTCTGTTTCAGCGAAAATTCTGCAGGAAACCCCTTCTACCGATTTTTCGCTTCTATATTTCAGACGTGAAGACAGTGAAGACCACATGTTTGTAGGATGTCCCTAGGTTTTCCCTCGTTTTTCCCGGGAATTTCCAGGTTTTCCCAGGTTTCCCGACGTTTTCCCCCGGTCTTTCCCAGGTCGGTCCGGTCTTTCCCAGGTCGGTGTTCCCCGCAAACGGAACCTGAGTGGAACAAGGCCTCCACGCTCCCCGCCCCCTGCGTTGCCAGCAGCGCGCCCAGCGCCGCCCAGCTGCCCGAAGAGGCGCCCGCGAAGTCGCAATCCTGGCGATTACTATATGGTAATACTATAGTCATAGTGATTATTATGTGTGTATATGGTATATCAACAATAATCATATTGTATTCACTAATATGGTATAATGTATATATAGTGATTGTAGTGATCATAACAATGGGAAATACATGGGAATATCAGATGATTTAACAACAATGATATGAATTAACACTAGTATTACCATGATCTATCATCATTGTAATAAATACTATAGCCATAGTACTAATTATATATACATACATATATATATATATTATATTATATATATATATATATATTATATTATATATATATATTATATTATATATATATATTATATTATATATATATTATATTATATATATATCGTCAATACTAGTCTGATATATCACTAATATGGTATATATAGTGATTAACATAGTATTGATAACACATGGATTACGATATTTTTTTTTCTATGGTAATTACCATGGTAAATATGATATGTTTATGATTTAATAATTACATGGTATATAGTTATATTTTAAAATTTACCATCTGGTATATTAACATAGACCCTGGCAGATAGGGGTTGGAAGATTCATTTCCATTAAAAAAAAATAGTGATTTTCAGGGTCTATGTTAGTTTACATCAGGACCAGGGGGTAATATTTCATATTATGTATATTATGGAACATTTGATCAACACCCAGAGGGTTAAAACATCAACAAAACATGGTGCTTCAATGGGAAAAACAACATGGGATAATCAGATGAATATCATGGATATGTATATATATATATATGTGTAATGTAGCTACTTGTAGTCATATGCCATTAAATGTATACTTCTAATTCTAGCCATACTCAACATTAGGTATATATTCTATTGACTGATCTGGTATAATGGATATGGTGATATGATATAACAGCTCATATAATTATGATTTAATAGGATTTTAGTGGGAATATCATGGGAAATAGTTCTTCTATGGTGACTTAAGGAGGAAATAAGAGAATTTAATGGGAACTAATGATTTAACAATAATGACACATTTTTTCACAAGAAATGCGGTTTTTCGTCTAACGATAGCAATGGTTAAGCCATGCCCCATGCCCACTTCGAAGCGGCCCCCTGAGATGCTCCTGGAAGACTTCTGTCCCGAAGCGGCGATAGATGAAGTGCACCACCCCCAGGACGTAACATGCCAAAGAGACCCCTCCGGTGAAGACCATATGCTTCGAGTAGATGCCTTCTTGAAGGCCATAGGGGATTCCATGCCTCAAAACAGAACCCAAATTAGGCAGATTCTGCGCTGTGTTTTGTCAAAGGGGAAAGCTATGGGTTATATATATATATATGTATGTACAAAATATAGATGCACAAGTAGGTGTATCTAATATTAGTAGATTATCAATAGAAATCATTTATATATAATATACATCTATATATATATATACACATATACACATATATACACATATATATATATATATAGCAGGAGCTGAGAATAGTCATAGTGCTGGATTATGGTGAATCATCTACCAGTTAAATGGCACTTTGAACGAGGATCTACATTTTTTAAGAGACTTTGAGAAATCAACATGTATACCTGGTACAGTGTGGAGCCCCTACCTATGTTTCTATTGCTTCACTATATTTCATTATCATAAGCAAGATCTATGCTGGATATGTCTACAAGTGGATGGATCAAAAATAAACCAACCTAGTTACAGCCACATGAAACGGTGATAACATAGATAATCCAACAGAGGTGTATAAATGATGGTTAAAACAGTTCAAGCATCGTATAAATAATGGTTAAGATCTCATTGAGTTCCTGTTGAACCAGGGCATTGCTGAGGCTTTCAATGTGTATTAAGGTCGTTAAGGTATATATTTCAACATCTACATCCTTACTAGATCCTCAACCGACAAGCAGTTTCGGAAAAAAACAGTTAAGATCATTGATCAATATACATCACATACATCAAGCAAATATATACTTATATATATATTATTGACCTATGAAAGTTTCCTAAAATGAGGCTAATTACCCCAAGTCACCATGGTGTTCAATACTAAAATGGTATAACGACTTGGATGATTTGGGGTCCCAAAAAATAAGCCACCGAATCCCCAGGGTTTCGCAGGTTTTCCGCACCTGTCTTCTTTCCAATTCAACTTACTCTCAGGCTGACGAGGAGATATTAACACTGTGGCCGTATCCTCAGATGCCATTCTGAGAGAGACTATGGAAAATGATGCTGCTGGGAGGGAACCTAAGGGAATTTCCGAAAATAAGGGGACCCGCAAATCATCCAAGTCATGAGATTAGTTTAATATTTAAAGCTATGTTTTGGGGGTTCGCAGTTGTAAGAAACAACCATATGGAAAATGATCATCAACCAGACTCCAGAAGAAAATATGCAGGTGTCTTAAGTCAATCGAGAACCAAAAAACTAAATCATCCATTCTATTTTCGGCTTTTCCATGAAATAAACCATCCAGCTATTGGGATAGCCCCGTGACCATGGAAACCCCCATATGATTAATCAGAAATGATCCAAACCCTCGGTTGAACGGACCAACTGGCTGTCTGAGAATGGGATACACCCTCAAAATTCAATAGTTCAATAAGAACAGATTTTTTTTAAAAAAGTAAATACCTGATGTTACATGAGATATACCTAGCAATATACCTTGCAAAACCAGGGGATTTTTCACCAATCCTTTTATGGGGATATGACTGGATCAGGATAGCGAGGTGATCATCCAAATACATCGAAATACTGGATCTACATGTGGCTGACTTAGGGAGGATTTACAAAGGTAAATATTCCATACATAACGAGCAGGTAAGTTGGTTTGCAGCTATGTTAAGTAGGATTTGCGCTGGACATATCTACAGCTGAATGGGCTTTCAACTTCAGAGTCGAAATTGCTGGGATGAAATATGCGAAGAAACTCATAGTCACTTGCGTCTTGGTTGTAATCCTCCAAAGGAATCCTCCAAAAGATATGATACAAAGTAAGATCCCATTGACATAGTGACAGAATAAGATACATCATCTGGGTAAATTACCGTAATTAAATCACCTGAAAAAAGTGGCTATTTCATTGCAATTTATCCAAATACATGTATCCAAATAGATTGTTTTGCCACTAACCAATTGTCCAAATGATACAAAAGGTCGCAAATTACCCATGAACTTTGCCACTATTTGTTACATAAGAAACATCAATCTGGGTAAATTACAATATTTCACTAACCTGAATCTTGCGGCCATTTTGGGATGATTCCTTTTTTAAGGGGTTTCTATACAAGACACCGACCTTGACCAACTCAGGGTCCACGGAAAATCTAACCGAAACGCCAGGTGTCCCAAAGACACGCCAGTAGGCACAACTTCGGCAACTGAGGAAGAAAGCGCATGGAGACAAATGCCTGGGTGGTTCCAGGAAAATTCATGGCTGGTTGGTGGTTTCAACCCCTCTGAAAAATATTAGTCAGTTGGGATGATTTTTCCCAATATATGCAAAAATAAAAAATGTTCCAAACCACCAACCAGATGGCGTTTACTGTTTGACAGTTTGACATGCTAGAATCTGCTAGAATGTTTTGGGATTTTACATGAGATTTAAATATGGTTGATTCCAACCAATCTGCTGTTTTTGTTGCGAAACATGGACTATATATATATATAAAGGTTATTTCCTGGGTGAACGGTGGATGTCTTTTACCACCTTCATCACTTCATTCCGAACCCATCTGAACCAGCGCCGAAGAACGGTGACGGCCAAGAAGAGGGTGACAACGCAACGAACCTTCTGCAGTAATTTCTCTTGGATCACAAAGTGCATGTTCAAAGCAATCCTTTTGGAGCCAACATCCCAGGATCCCCAGGGTTTGTTTGTGGGAACATATTGGGATCAGAATTTATAAGAATCTTCATACATCAGTGAATATAAGAATCTATCAGAACATCATATTATTGGTATCTGGTTGGTGGTTGACCTACCCCTGTGAAAAATATGCGAGCTCGTCAGTTGGGATTATGACATTCCCAACTGCTCATGGAAAGTCATTCAAAATTCCATGGTTCCAGTCACCACCAACCAGAGGTTAGAAAAACCATTATTAACCATCATTAACCCCACCAACCAGAGGTTAGAAAAACCAATATTAACCATCATTAATCATCATTGTCCCATACTAAACCAATGTTCCCAGCTATGAAAATCATGGATTTACCATCCTCAATCCACCAGCATCGCAAAATTTCCCGGCCACGTCTGAAAACGGGTGGACCATGGTGGACCACGTCTGAAATGGGGGAGCAACAATTGGAGAAGTATCACTTGTGTATATGGATAGGATAGGATAGGATAGGATAGGATAGGATATTTGTTTCCAATGCAATAGTATATCTATGTAATATATATATATCCTACACAATTATATATAAATATATATATATATATGTACAATCCTGCGTGATTCATTGTTTGGACTACAGCAATTGATCTGGTCGGTGGCTCCACCACCCAGAAAAATTCGCCACCCACAAGAGCTGTGGCAAAAACCGTAACAGACAGGGGAATACCCTGGTGCAAACTTTGTGCAAACAAACATAGATATGGAAAATCATCACTTTTCTAGATTCAAATAGATTCAAGAGCATCGAGTGATAGCTCAGCGGCTCACCAGCCTTCAGCTCTGGTGATTTTTTTTTGGAATCTGCACATTGCCGTCCACCTCCAACCAGCTTTCCAGGCCGTCCAGGATGACGGGTATCACCAGCCGATTGCGCAAATGTGATGTGGAAACCATCCATTCCCAGAGCCAACAACATGGTAAACTGTTTGGTGGTTTTAACAATCTTGAAACATATTAGTCAATGGGAAGGATTATCCCATATATCATGGAAAATAAAAAATGTTTGAAACCACCAACCATTAAAGGACGGCTAATTAGCAACCAAGAGCCCACTATTGGGTATCTTCTTGACGCAGTTCCGGAACAACCACACAATCACATCAAAAAATGATGTTTCCATCTTGTCTCAGCTCAAAGAGCATGAGTATGTCACCTATCTGATTAGTTATCACCTGATTATGTAATCACCTGATGAATCACCTTTTACCACCTCTTAACAACCTGATTAGCCTCTGGCAAACTGACATGGAAATTGAACAGTGTCATTTAGTGCGATAATTTACCTATTAGTTATAGGAATAGTGTACTGGGTCCCGGCTTGGCTCTAGCTCTCACTCCGACGCGCTCCTCGGCCCGGTTTCCAAGACGGCATCTTTGCAGTTCCAGCCTACGTTTGACCGGAGGGCAACACCCAATAGGGAAATGAACTATATGTGTGTTTTAAAATATGTTGGATAATTGTGATATAAAATGATATGAGTAATTATCTTGGATAAGTTTGATTTAAGAAAAATGATAAAAAATTGTAAAGATGATCCAGTATGATCTAATCATGTGGAACATGATGCAAACCACACTAAGAGAATATATGGTCAATCTTTGGTAGTCCACAAAAAACGGTCATATGTTTTTCTCTTGATTTCCTGTACTATATATCCCTATGGATCCAAACACTGTCTGGGAAGGTACTGAAGCGCCTAGTCATCATATCCCAGTCGTACTTCCTAAGAAACTACTTGGATCCACAGAGTGTATGTATATATATATATATACACTGTCAATATGCATATATATATATATACTGTCATCTGTATATATATATATATAATCACATATAATATAATAAAATATTATTTAATATGAAAAATAATGCAATATAATATAACATGAAAAATAATGATAATATAATAGTACAATAAAATATGGTAATTTAAATATATAATAACGCATAATATAATGTAAAACTTTTGCAGTCAATTATGGGGCAGCTGACTTTGATTTGGGGACATCACTGTTAGATCTGAATTGAAACATGTATTTCTTCATATCCCAGTGTTCCACATAGTTAGAACTCCCTGGGAAGTAAAACTGTATGTTATTAATTAGTACAAGATAATACAAGTGCGACATCTGTTATACAGAAGAGGCCCGCGCACACCCGGACCTGGAATTTGAAAGCAGCACTTGGACCAAAACCATGCAAAGCAAATTCAATATATTGACATACGAACGTAAATCAACATGTGCTCGCCGAAGAGGTTCCTAAAAATACTAATAAGGATCAAATTCCTTCACTAAGAAGTCAATTCTCCAATCATGTCAAATCTGTAGCGTCGCCCCAATACAAACATCAATTAAAATGCGCTTGGCGAAGAAGTTCCCTGATAAGCGCCTTTTTTAAGTTTATATCCAACCAAGGTCAAGCACAATTTGCTGCCGAAGGGGCTCCCGAATCAGGACCAAAGTACCTATATACAAAAAACTTCATATATATGATTCACATTCATTTTGTATCAACCGAATCCAAGCCTCAAACACATGGCATCTTTTACTATTTCACCATGTGACCAGCTAGGGTCAATAATGACATTAGACAGGACTCAGTTTGAAATATCTCATGGAAAACTTGAAAATGGCAAAAACCATTACTGCACCAGAAAATATATAATTTCTGCGTGTGAGAATTTCATGCATCCCTATTTATCCAATTCTCAAATGGAAATACTTCCACTTTTGCTTTGACTACTACCCAACGGGTGTAGTCCAGACTACTACCCTCCGGGTGTAGTCTAGGAATCTTGAAGAACCTGCATCTGGGCCGGACCGAAGCCCTTTAGATGTCAAGTGGCACAAAGGTGCGTCAGCTGGCAGCGAGGTGGCTGCTTGGAGTTTTGGGGAAACTTGGTTTTGTTTTTTGGGTTGAAACATTCTTTTTCCGGTTGGAGTCGAGATCTCAGTTGCTGTTCAGGGTTCCAGGACGGTTCACTTGTTGGCATTGGGAGGCTTCAGGAAACACAGGTTATGAGCCCAAGGAGCTTGTGTAAACCCCCAAAGACTTCTGACATGATGCGTAGACGTAGACCGGATGGCGGTGCTGTCGATGGATCTGGCGCTGAGCAGATGATGGCAGCTGGCGCTGAGCAGATGGCGGCAGCTGGCGCTGAGCAGATGGCAGCGGCTGGCGCGGTGCAAGCGGCGGCAGCTGGTGATCGGCAGATGGCGGCTGCGGGCGCTGAAGGCGATGCAGCACAGGCGCTTGGGGCGAGAGGAGATGCAGCTGAGAGAGGCCTGGAACTGGTTGGACAAGAACTTGTACCAGCTTCTCAAGCCTTGGCCTTGAGGACACCGGATGGGTTGGAGAAAGGGCGAGGGTCAGACGCTGCAAAGGGCTCTAGGTCACCAAGGGCAGCCACAGAACCAGTTAGCCAGGGTCAGAAGTCAAAGGAGGGTTCAGTCAGAGGCCAAAAAGGAACCCCAAAAGAAATAGAACCAGAGAAGCGTCAAGAGATGGCAACACCCAGTGGACAGCCAGTTTCACTAGGTCCCCATTCCTTTGTGACACCAGAGGGACAGGTCCAAAGTATGTTGCCACTTTTTTCACCAGAGCAAACGGTGAAACTTCATGAGATCCACCAGATGCCTTTTGCATCGCCAGCGGCTTCATGGAATGGTCCTGCGGTTGGAGAACATGGACACGGGGGAGCTGAGCGACAAGCAGTTCCAGGTTGGTTCACAGGGTTGCTTCAATCAGTAGGATCTCAGCAAGGTGAACATGAGGCGAGGCAAAGGGATTACATGTGGAGAATGCAAGTTGAGCATGGCATAGAACATCTAGGGGTTCAGTTGCGTGCGGCACAGCATGAAAACCAAAGACTTCGTCAAGAGCGTCAAGAGTTGTTGGAAGCCTTGGAAAAGAAGGGATCGTCGAGGTTTACCACACCAGATGACAAAGCAGCCAACATGTTAAAAAAGGAGGAAGGGGCAGAGTCCCGGCAAGAAAGACCTTCCAAGGAGGAAGGGGCAGGTGCCCGGCAAGGAACACCTTCTAAGGAGGAAGGGGCAGAGGCCCGGCAAGACAGATCTTCTCAGGAGGATGGGGCAGAAGCCCGGCAAGAACAGTCAGAGAGCGATTCGTCTTCTGAGGAGCCGCAAAGAGCAAGCAGGCCAAAGGAGAGCGTTGACAAGCAGTCCATGAGGATCATGCTCAAGTTGATGGAGGGCATGCAGGAGCTTCAGAAACAGATTGTGATCTCCAAGGAGGAAGGAAAAGGTGATGAGATTGAAGTGGTGCGCTATGTGGCGGATCTCCCAAAACTTGCTGAATGGAATCCGGAGACGGCGCCCATCGATTTTGGTGATTGGGTGATTTGTCTGCATCCTCATATGGCAGACTTGAGCTCAACGAGTGAGATGTGGTGGGACTTGACCCTCTCAACAGCGAGGACTTGGTATGATCACCACATGAAGCTATCGCCAATTGAGAGGTTGACGAGCACACCAAGGCCTACACCAGAGTTGCAGCAGAAGAAGTGGTCCCGGCTGGAAAGAAGGGCTTCGTCCTTGCTCTTGAATGCGTTGCCGCAGACGATGAACGAGGAGGTGATTGCGGCGAAGTCCATCACAGCTTTGGGCATTTTGTCTCGTGCGATGCTGCAGTTTCAACCTGGAGGGCTGACAGAGAGAAGCGCTATTTTGACGGCGCTGGAAGCACCTATGGAAGCTGCAACCGTGGGTTCAGCCATCCAACAGCTGAGACGTTGGATGAGATGGAAGCGCCGGGCCCTTGAAGTTGGAGTTTCAATTCCAGACAGTTCAATTTTGATGAAGGGATTGGGACGTTTGGTGAGGAAAATTGTTTCCAGTTACCCAGATCTCAACTTCCGCTTGTCGTTGGTCAAGAGCTCATTGTTGGTGGAGACAGTTCCAACGTTGGAGACAGTGACCCAGTACAGCGAACACCTTCTTGCAGAGCTGGAGCAGATGGGACAGCAGGCAAAAAGGAAGGAAGTGATGGCAGAGAGCCAGCCAAAGGTGAAGAAGTTCGAGGAAGCCTCGGGAAGCAAGCCTGAAGAAAGGACCAGGCCGAAGGGGAAGCCTCAAGAGGAGTTTGAAGGGAGGAGGAAACCATGTAGGTTTTACCTCACAGACTCAGGTTGCCGAAGAGGTAGAGGATGTCCTTTTGGACACCAGTTGGATGGAGAAAGAAGGTGTTGGACATGTGGAGGAAAGGACCATATGGCCACAGCCTGTCCGACCACAGAGGAGTCCAAGCCGAAGGCAGCAAAGTTTGGTTCCAAGACCCCAGAGAAGGATGTGAAGTCCGCTACAACATCTCCTGAAAAGTCCGAGGAGCAGTCTGAGGCCACGGGTAATGGAGGAGAAGAAACTATGAAGTCGTTGCTGGATGAAGCAAGTCGGATGCTCAAATCAATGAATGAAGGAGATGTCAAAGAAAAGAGACAGAAAGGGGAGGACGCACAAGAAAGGATCTTGGGCCTACAGAAGCAGCTGGATGAGCTCAAGAAGGCTTCTATGCGACCCTTTCGCATCTCCAAGTTGTGCCCAATGGTGAACAAGGGCTTACTGGACTCAGGGGCAACACACCCTTTGCGAGCCAAAAGAAAGGGAGAACGTCTTCACCATCTACCAAAGGTCAAGGTGACGCTGGCAGGTGACAAGGAGATCTATATGGCACTCACTCCAACGGGAGTCATTGTGGGCGAAGAAGGCACGGAGCCCATAGTGCCCATGGGATTGCTGACTGCAGTCCTTGGATGTGAAATCTCATGGAAGCCAGAAGGTCTTCAGGTGGTGCACCCAGTGCTTGGCAAGTTGGAGGTGGTGGTTGAAGCTGGATGTCCAATGGTATCACAGTCCACGGCCATGAAGCTCATCGAGGAGATTGAGGCCAAGGCCGTGAAGGTTGTGAAAAGTTTGAAAACGGGGGAGGACTCAGAAGAGGCATGGTTGAGAAGGTTGGTTGATGAACACCCAGCTCTTCAAGGAATCCCTGAGGAGGTAAAGAGAAGCTTGGTGGAGAAGCCTGCAACGGACATCCTACCGTTGGGAAACAGAAGAAGAAGGAAACTTTGGAGGGCGAAGGGTATGATGATTCATGCCTTTTCGGGAAAGAATGAAGGCTACACATTGGGAAGGGCTTTTCATGAGATTGGAGGTGATCGTCGGTTGATGTATGAGTTTGACATCACCCATGGAAAGCCTGAAGCAGATCTTTCACCTAAAGGTGAGGCCTACCCGCTCTTGTTGAGGGCAGCTTTGGATGGATTGGTGAAGGGTTGGATAGCCGGGCCACCATGCAGGACCAGATCGGTTCTCAGACATCTTGAAGTTCCAGGGGAAGCCATGCCGAGGCCTCTGAGAAGTTGG